AATTCCAACCCTTGATTGTTATTTATTTTCATAAAAGTGTACATTCGCTAATACATTTGGCTTTGAGACTAACTTGTAGGGTTACGCTTGCTTTCTTGTAATATTTTTAATGATTACACCTCTCTTAAATAGGCTTTCTTAAAACTGATGAATTATAACGATTTTCTTTTATTAATAAATCGAAAGAAGCAATCTAACCTTAAATGCAGACTTAATATTTCTCAATGAAAATAAGGTTGTAACAAAGCATGGATTTCACTTTTTTTTTTTAAAAAAATTTTAATGGATGTAGAATAATATAATAGATTTCATTTATTTAAAAACTAATTAGAATAAAATTAAAAAATATAATGAATTGATCAATTATGCAATATGGAAATTACCACAATATTTCCAACCTTTATTTCTCTATTATAGTATATAGTGAATTTGTAATCTAGAAATATTTGAAAATATTTGTTGTATCTATTAAAGAAGAAATTACGTGGTGCTAGTACTAATTAAATATTGTTCTTCATTGGTGATATTTTATTTTTGAAATTGAATTGAAAGTTTAATGAATTTTTGAATTGATTCCTGGCATTAAAATGTTTGAGCATAAATTGATTAACTTTAACAGGAATGACAGACATGCATTTCAGTTTTTACTAAGCCATTATGGTTGCATTGGATTTAAACATCTAGTTGAAATTTATTTTGTTCTCTATAGAAAAATCCTGATAATTATGAAATTTCAATTTCTTAAAATTGAAATTAAATTGGAATGGATAGGGAAATTGATGTTTAAACAATTTATCTGAATTATATTTTGGTTATTTATAGTGGGTTTTAGACTAAAAATGATTTATTTCATACTTCTGTTACATTCTCCATTATCTAAAAACCAATCTTCTGCACAAATTTCACATTGGGTTTTTAAGTATCCAGAACATTTAATGCAATGAGATGAGCATCGAAAAACATATAAGTTAAAGTCAAATATTGCCCAGAAGGGATTTGATCCAATTAACGATGTAGGAGCTATTTGAATTTCAACTTAAAGATTCTAATGACTATAGATAAAATCAACATTATAAACGCTTTCTTATTGAGATGATGCACAGAAGGAAATCGAACTAGCAGGAATAATAGTGAATGGATGAATAATCCCATCAATAACAATGTTAAAACTATTAGAAATACTTGAAATATCAATCAGCCATATTTTGAATTTAATTTCGAATTAATAATGTGGATCAAGGTTAATTTTAGTCTTTAATAAATCTGATCTCCCTAAAATTTAAAATCCTCCAATTAGCGATATTTTATCAAGACAAATTGTTGTTAAAACAGGCAAATTATTAGATAACAACCATATATCAACATTAGGTTTATAAATCTAAATAAGGGTTGTATCCATCTTTGGTTAACATATGTCGGAGGAGTTTTGATTGCAAAGGAGGCAATCAGGAATACATTTTAAAATATCAAGAGTGAAATTATTAAATCCCCAAGATTCCTGAGTTTATAACAATAATTACGTCTTGCCACCCATCTAAACTAGACTTCATTAAAAGAACTAATGTTTCAGAATTATGTGTAATTATGATATCAACTTAACATAAATAATCTTGATAACTCGTTCCACATTAGCTAAAACCTTATGAACAATTAAATGTTTATTTCCAAACTATATCATCAATTATGATATATTGTACTTCATTGTCCCAACAACCTAATCTGGAAAATGATAATATTCTTATTACTTCCAGAAATTTACTTTAATTCTTAGTTTATAATGAGGAGGGAGAGAAAATAACCTTTAGACTGCTGTGCCACTCCCAAATGCAATATATCCTCCAATAATTTTTAATCCTGCACAACTCGCGATATGGTCCTCACTCCTTGCTCCTGTAACTACCCAAGCTATTTATGAATTGATTATTTACATTCCTATTCAGTCATATTATCGTTTACAAAAGCTGTATAAATGTTTTCCCAATCTGCTTGGGCAACCACAATTTTTAAAATAAAAAATAAGTTTAGCATAAATATATAAAATATTATTTGAAATAATAATTTTGAATTAATATAATACCATAATTTGTGAGATAAGTTTAAGTGTTCAATTTTACGTTAATACGATTTTGCTTCATTAAAATTAGGGCTAATTTAAGAAATAGCGAAATTTCTTTTGCATTAATTAAATTTCGTAGCTTCCATTCCATCTAAATATAGAATATTTAGATGAAAATGGAATAATGAAGTAATTATGTGAAATCAATCTAAATGTTAAATTTGAAATTATATTAACAGTTTCATAGTTTACTTTATAATTAGAAGAAACAAATATCATATTATCAAAACTTATTTCAGAAGCAAGCTGAATGATCATCATCTTTTTTCCTCAATAGAATATTACAGAGATTAAATCATATATCTTAGATGTAGCTTCATTAATATGATTTCATCGATCCCTTGTAGATTTTATTAAAAATGAATTACCATATGGTGAGAACCATAGCAAGACTACATTTTTCTATACAGATAATTGAACTAATTGTTGAATCTCTTAGACATATCTTTAATACGAGATTCAAGCTACTCAAAATTGTTGCTGCTCTCGTTTAACCTTTGGAGGTATATCATAAATAATTATTTTATATAAATAGGATCCATTCAACAAAATTTGATGAATTTTATTGATTAATTAGGAATCAGATGGGCAGTTTAGTATTGAATAACCCCCCCCCCCCCTTGAATATTGCTGATAGCGATAAAAACCCTTCTTGGTTTGTATCAACCTTACAAAATGTATTATTGTTATTAAATAATTTAAAATTTTTTCAGGTTCTCTAAGTAATAAGTATGATAAACCTCTTGAATACAATGGAGAAATTCCATTCACTAATAAAGTCTTAAAGGAACAAAATCTTGAGCCAATTTCCTTTTTGGTAAAATTGGAACAAAAAAAGGAAATAAACCGAATATACTCTATGAAAAACAAAAGTTATCCTGTTCACTTAAATTGTTATTCATTATATTCCTATTATATAAATGAAATTTCATTGAATTCCTATCTAATTGATCCTCTGGGTACACTTCCAATTCAAAATCATGAGTACGATCTCCTCCAAATTCTTCTGGATTCAATTTGCCCAAAGATTGCCAAGCTTCAATTACTACATCTGGAATTGGACCTGGGCCACAATCAAAACGACAAAAATGATGAGCTGGAACTTTTATGCTAACCATTCCTTCTGGTACATTTTTAACTTAACTTACCTATTCCCCAACAACAATTTTGTATTTCATTTCTTACCAATCCTACCCATCCGACAATTCAAAATATAAGCAATGAGTTCTCATTGGATTTAAACGATTTGGAATCTAATCATAGAGCTGCTTTGAATAGTATTCATCAAAGGTTCTTCCAATCTGAGCCTTTTATGGATCCAATTCATCTTTTTGGAGAATATTTCTTTAAATTCCTACTATCGTGAAGGAATCTAATTAAACCAACGTTTTTGGATATTTAAGAGTTGAATCCATATCTTTTCTTTAATAATTATTTATAAATTCAATACTAATTCAAAGTTTGTTTTCTATGAAATTATAATCAATATGATTATTGTTATGAATATATTAATAGGGGAAAAAATCAATCAATAGTTGAAATTTATACTACAACTTTAATTGAGAAAAACAAATTTCAAATTGTTTTAATTTTTTTAAGTTAATTATCTTCAAGCCTTGTAAAAATTATAATTGGTTGTATATTCCATAATATTGTTATTTATTGCTCTTCATTTTCTAAATGAGATATCAATGTAACTCAATATAAATATTAAGCTCGCACAAAATCGAATCAATATAAACTGATCTATGATTATAATTTGAGAAAAATCTCCTTTGATTAAATATCAAAGATTTTATCCCTTTTGACCTATCTTAATGAATTTAGTTTTGGATTACAATTGTTTTTAGCAATCAAATAGAATCCATCAAAGTTATGCTTGTAATTCTTAAATTATTGGTTGAATTCAATCTATCAATTTTGTTGTGCAATAATCACTTTTCAAGCATTGATTATGAATTAATTTAAGCCTTATTTTTTGAATTCAAATAATATAGATATTGAATTTACGTAGGTAATGTTTTTTTTCTTTTGAAGTAAATTATACTAAATGATTAAAATTTGTTCAATTTTTTCAGTTTAGATATAAGAAAATGAAATCTTTAAAGTATCTGAATTTCCAAATAGTTGGGTATGAATAAATAAACTAATAGAATTCATTCAGAGGTAATTTAATATTATCTAGATGTAAATCTGAATGTTATAATTTTATTGAATAGGGTATAATTTGCCCAGTTCAATAGAAAAGTAACTGAAATTGGAATGAAAAAGGATTCTATATCAATGCTAATAGGAAACCATAAAGTTCGATTTATTATAGGAAGAGAGAAATGGTGTCAAGTTAGCTATTGTAACATTTTTTGTATTTTAATGAAAAGAGCGTTTAGTTTAGTTGACATAAGATTTTTAGAAATCTCAATTAAGTGAGCTTTCAATGCAAAGCATATTTTGGAAAGATTTAGATCACTTAAATAAGATTTATACAAGTTTCACTTTGTAGGAAAGAATCTTGCATTTCCCAGATAAAACTTTCATTTGGTTAATGTTGTTGTAATTTATTATTGATGAAACTAAATCCTCTCATCAAATGATCCTAAATTCAGGTAATAAGGTACAGAATAATAGTTTAAAAGGATTGTTAATAATAAGAAAATCTTAGTGTGATTGGATGTATGGGTTCAAATTTATTTTCGTGCAACTGAATTTTGTATCTTACTATTTGAGTAAACTATAATGTTTCAATATCCCTAAACTGAATATAATATAAATATCGACTACAAGAGTAATTTATATCATATATTTTATTTTTATAATTGTATTCCTTTAAGGAATAATCACAATGTAGCTTTTCATGTTCTCTATTTCATAGTAAATTTCTTAATATTGATATTTTTTAATTACTTTGATAATGCTTAATATTTTTAAATTAAATTTTATTAAAAAATAATATACTGTTTAAAAATAATTCAATGAAACAAAAAAATAAATTTGTCATGAAAATGACATAGCAAAACAAAAATACTAACGCAAAAATAATTCTCTAATTACTTGCTTACTCTCTGTCTCTCACCCTCGCAAAGAATTTCTTCTATCGAAAAAATATAAATACTAAAAAAAGTCATACTACAACAAAAACCCATTTTCGATACTCCTCCTTTGTTTTGTCCTGGTTTGGGGGATTTATATTTTATTATTATTAAGTGGGTGTAATAAATATAAGTAGTTTCAATATATTTGGTGAATTTTCTTCATTGGAAAATTATGATTAAGAATTATATGAATATTAAATCATAGTATGGTAATAATTTTTTTATTATATATTCTTTAAGAAAGGTTATGTGAGATTTTCCTTGAACAATTTATATTCATTCTAAATGTTTATATATCTTCCAAACCATATAGTGTAGGATACTTTTATGTTTATAGTATAAAACTCAAAATAAAGTCATTGAAATTCAATAGTATTTTAAAAAAAAAAATGCATTTTGAAAAAGAGTAGGTTGGAGATTTGTATGGGATTTTGGCTTTATCTAAAGATGTTGATGAAGTAGTCCTGCCTTTCCTAATTTACATATTAAAAAAAGAGAGAATTTAAGACTGCCTAGAATTTCTTTTATAAGATTAAAATCAATTCCTTGTTGAATTAGAAAGATAAAAGGTAGAAGATTCATAGCTACTTGATAAAGAATAGACTCTCAATGCAGAGAATAACATTAAGACAATAACGTGTGTTCTCAAAAAGATTAGGGATCACGAATTTAATAAACAGAATTACTCAAAAGATGAACATGAAGAAATTAAAAAGAGTCTAATCTTAAAAATATCACTGGATAAGAAAATTATAGAATTTCTCAAATTTTTAGTACATCTAACAGCCTTGGATGAAAGATATATTTAGTCTGGATCAAATTCTCTTCATTTACTAGTTGTAATGAAAGTTGATTTGAGTGAACAATCTTTTGAAAGTATTAGAATTAGAAACTCTTCATTGTTAGGAGCAAATTTAGTGAGATGTGACTTAAGTGGATCTGAATTTGAAAATGTTATTACTAGTGGAATGAATTTGAATTAATCCAAATTATTTAATTGTAAATGGAAGAATTTAAGAATACATGAGCTAAATATATTAAATGGGCATAGTGAAATAGTCAATTAGGTTTGCTTTTCTAGAGATGGTAAGTCATTAATTTCTTGTAGCTAAGATAATTCGATTATATTGTGGGATATTAGAAAAGGAAAAATGAAGTCTTTAAATAGATTGAAGAATTAAATTAATTCATTGAGTCTTTCTCCTAATGGTGAAATTTTAGCTTATTGCATTGGTAGATATGCATATATATTGAATCATAGAACATAGAGATAAATCTCAAAATTAAATTGTCAGACTGTCTTTACTAATTAATTATGTTTCTCTTCTGATGGTACTACATTAGCATCAGTTGGTGGGGCTGGTATTTTTGTTGACTTTGTTCGTTTATGGGATGTTAAAACAGGTTAAAAAAAAAGCCGAATTAGATGGTCAAACTAAGTGTATAAAAGCTGTCTGCTTCTCTCCTGATGGTACTAAATTAGCATCTTGCATTTAAGACTATTCTATCTGTTTATGGAATGTTGAGACAGGATAATAGTAAGCAATTTTAGGAGGTCATTCAAATATGGTCTATTCATTCAGCTTCTCTCCTGATGGTACCATATTAGCATCCGGTAGTTCTGATTAATCTATTCGTTTATGGGATGTTTAAACAGGATAATAATACTTATAATTAAAAGGAAATTATTCATGTGTAAGGTCGGTCTGTTTTTCTCCAAATGGTATGATATTAGCATCTGGCGGTTCAGATAACTCCATCCGTTTATGGGATGTTAAGACAGGATAATAGAAGGCAAAACTAGATGGTCATTCAAAACCAGTCTTTACAGTCTCTTTCTCTCCTGATGGTATGACATTAGCATCTGGTAGTTAAGATAATTCTATCCGTTTATGGGATGTAAAGACAGGATAATAACAACCACAATTGGATGGTAATATCGATCACATTTATTCAGTATGTATATCCCCTGATGGTTCTAAATTAGCGTCTGGTAGTTCGGATAATTCTATCCGTTTATGGGATGCTAAAACAGGAAAATAATTATCTAAAATTGGTTATCATGATGGACATATTAATCAAGTCTGTTTCTCTTCTGATGGCTTGACATTAGCATCTTGTTGTGAATATAGATCTATTCGTTTTTGGGACGTTAAAACAGGAAAGATAAAGCTGAAATTAGTAGGAAAGAAATCGATAAGATCAGTATGCTGGTCACTTAACCATACTACGTTGGCTTCATGTGGTGAAAAATTGATATACATATGGAATCTTAACAAATGTAAATAAATGAAAAAATTAATCAATCATACTGGACAAATTGATTTGGTTTGTTTTTCTCCTGATGGTACTACATTAGCTTCTGGTAGTTAAGATAAGTCTATCCGTTTATGGGATGTAAAGACAGGGTAATAAATGGCAAAATTAGATGGCCATACAAATCAAGTTAAGTAAGTAGGTTTCTCTCCTGATAGTATGTCATTAGCATCTGTAAGTTCAGATAACTCTATCCGTTTATGGGATGTTAAGACAGGATAATAAAAAGCCAAATTAGATGGTCATTCTGGTTATGTTAATTCAGTCAATTTCTCTCATGATGGTACTACATTAGCACCTGGTAGTTATGATAAGTCTATATGTTTATGGGATGTTAAGACAGGGTAATAAAAAGCCAAATTAGTTGGTCATTCTGGTTATGTTATGTCAGTTAATTTCTTTCCTGACGGTACTACATTAGCATCTGGTAGTTCAGATAACTCCATCCGTTTATGGGATGTTAAGACAGTATAACAAAAAGCCAAATTAGATGATTTTTCAAATTATGATACGGCAGTCAATTTCTCCCCTGATGGTATTACATTAGCATCTGGTAGTTCAGATAACTCCATCCGTTTATGGGATGTTAAGACAGGATAATAAAAGGCAAAATTAGATGGTCATTCAAATTCAATCAATACAGTCTGTTTCTCTCATGATGGTATGACATTAGCATCTGGTAGTTCAGATAACTCTATCCGTTTATGGGATGTTAACTCAGGATAATAAAACGCCAAATTAGATGGCCATTTTGGAAATGTCAGGTCAGTACGTTTCTCTCCTGATGGTACTACATTAGCATCTGGTAGTTAAGATAAGTCTATCCGTTTATGGGATGTTAAGACAGGATTACAAAAAGCCTAATTCAATGGTCATTTAAGTTCTGTTACTTCAGTCAATTTCTCTTCTGATGGTACTGCATTACTATCTGAATGTTCAGATAAATCCATCCGTTTATGGAATGTTAAGGCAGCAAAAGAGATTTTTCCTCAAGATAATTGTTACAAAGCTCTATTATCTTAGTTTAAATTGTCACTTTCAAGCCAATCCATTTTATTCAATGGTATTTATTAATTGTATTTTTTAGCCAACTTTGATCCTACAATATTAAGAATATGTCAAAATCCCATTTTGGAAGCATAAGGAGCTTTAATACTGAAAGGGCAATTATTTGATTACAAAGGATATGATTTAAGATTATTATTTAAATCTAAAGGAAGTTTGATTTTAGAGAATCAACAATAATAGAAAAATAAATGATAATGATAAAAAGCCATTTAAACATAAATGCAAATTCAATCTTATATTTTTTTTATAACTCAAAATCAAATTAAATATTCCCTATGTGAAAACATTATTGAATCATAATTAGTAAGACTCGAATCGTTAGTGGATAATTATTATTGGTATTAACTTCTGATAATGAAAACTCTATTAATAAAAAAGGCTAATTTAAGAATACTCTGAAAACCCCTTACCTAATTCATACCACTTTTCATCTTTTATAGAATCTGCTTCTCCTTAATCAAAATACTATCCACTTTTTTACATATTTTATTATGATATTTTAGATAAGTTTAAATTAATTATCTCCATCTAGCTTCAAAAATATTCCCATATGACTACTTTTAACCAATTAGTATTCTCCGTCTACTATCACTAAAGATTGGCTATTATTGATTTTTATACTTTGTGAAGTCATCACCTATCTCTCTCCATTTACCATACTTATAGCCATGTGAGTTTTAATATCCACCACCGCTAATAATTTAAAACTATTGAATACATCAAGTCAGCATTAATGATCAAGCTCCATCTTCCTACCCTTTAATAATTGAAATACACTCCAATTTTATAAATTTGAACCTTTCTATTTGTTTTAATTACAATGTTTTTATATCCAATAACTCTAACTTAACTCTTTCAATAACCCTGCTTTTAATCCAACATCAGTGTATAATGATGAAATTTTCATTTTTTTATTTAAACTATAGCTTCCAATATCAAATAATTGCACCTTCTTAAGTTGAGGTCTGCCATTTCCTCATCATTCAGAATACTTAATCTATTCTATTTTATGAAAACCTCAGGACTTGCTTAAAATTATCTTACATTAGTTCTAATTTTAATTACTATAATTTACGTTCTTACAGATTTTCCATTCAGAAGGCATTTAAATGTATTATCTTAAGTTAGAAATATTTAGAGCCTTTTCAACATCCATTTATAAAAATGTATTCTCCAAACTGCACATTCAAACTCATAAATGATACATTATATGTCAATTCAAATTACTTAAGCCTCATTTTTGTTAATTGATTTAAAAACTCTTTAGATTATATTTTACCTATTCGGTATTGGAATTTCCCATAATACATATTAATCTCTTTTACAAATAAATCCCATAACATTACTGAATTAAAAAATAATCATGATAAATAATACATTTAAATTTAAAGTAGGTAATTCAACAATTCATCAAAAGGAATTGGATGAAAGGGCAATTCTTTAAAATTTAACTCAAAAATGTTAAAATTATGAATAATTTTCTTTTTAGATTGGAGATCTTTAGTATTTGAGAATGCTACTTTGAGATACTATGAGTTAATCAATTTTAATATCATATAATTGATCAGGCTTTTTATTTAGGTCATCAAATCTATGACTCAAATATAATTATAAATGAAAAGTAATAATAATTTTCAAGTTTCAAAGTTGATCGTGAGAAATATAAATTAGTAAATTTAAATATTTTAATCTAATCATCAATGATATCATTTATATTTAAATACTTTTAATTTTTGATAGGAATTTACACATTGAATAAACTACTCATGGAATATAAAATCTATTAATAATTAAACTCACCTTCTTTTCATTAAGCATATTTTTTTTTAGGGCTTTAAGAAATTGTTTAATAATTAAGAAGTGAATATGTAAACTAGAATTAAAAATAAACGTCATAAATTCCCTACCAACATAGGTTTTCAATTCGAATAGCAACCAATAAAGTAAATATGAATAATGTTGAATAAAATTTTTCATAGAAAACCTGAAAATTATGCGATTAGTGTAATAAAATATTAAAAAAATATTTTGCAAAGATACTTAAATTTTCTTTTATACAATTCAGATATTTCACATGCCCACTATAAAAGTAATTATTTGTTCCTTTAAACTCTAGATTGGAGAATTTAGAAATTAATTTTGATCTAAGCTAGAATAAAAAACTCAAACTAAATTCTCAATTCACGTAATTTAAGTGATTCTGTGTTACTAATTTAAAAATGAATGGCACACATTTTTTATTTATAAATATTATTAGATTCTTAATACTTAACCTTAAACAATATTTTCTTTAAAAAGGAAAAAGATTAAAAATTTAATTATACATGATATTGATGAAAGTGCTTGTATAAATTATTAAATATAACAATATTATCTCAATTAAAAATTGTTTTTGACTCTTAATTCAATATAGCTAAAATTTTCTAACATCCCTAAGCTAGCTTAAAATGGGATTGTTATTGAATTAGACTTCTGAATTATTAAAAATTTAGATATCCTGAGTTATAAAGATTAAATTAAGAATTGATTTGATATATTAAAATTCATTTGCAGTTCTGAAACTACAATAGATAAGCAGTTTGTTCATCGCAGAATTAATTGATAAAAATTTTACTTTCATATTTAATTAATCTAATTATTTTGTAAATTGACCCCATATCTGGTTGAATAATCGAAATGAATATAGTCATACTTGAAGGATAGATGACAAAATCTAGATTCAACTAAAATTTTCAATCAATTGGAAATATTATTTAGACTTTGTTTTTTTATATATGAGTTTAACCAAATGAATAGTGGAAAAATAGATTAATAAAAATTATAAATGAGACACAGATATTCATCCTCTCACTCTTAATTATTGAATGAGATCATCTAGAGTGTAGATTAGTAAGGAACCTAAAGAGAAGGACTTCATCAATGTAACTCAATAGTTAACTTATATCCAATCATGCTACCATCGATTAGTTAGGAGAGTTTACTTTCTTCAGCTAGAAACACATCTAATCAATCAGCAAAACCTCTCACTCGAAGAAGAATGAATAATCATAGTTAATCAAGATTATCTCTCCATACTAAAAAATCTGATTTGACTCCCCTAACAATAAGATCTCACAGCCCTGTAAGTTAATTTTAGTAGCAATATTTTGATGCTATAAAGAATGATGATTTTCAATAAGCTCTGACAATATTAATAAATATGATGATTCTAACTGTTGATTAAGATAACTTATGTTAGTTGATTAAAATATTTAGAGTTGCATCGCTAACATTGTTACATTTCAGAGAGTATGGAAAATCAATAATATACACAAAGAATACAATCTTTTTAAGCGAATTTGCAAGAGATTTCGAAACTATTTAATGGGCATTACTACATTTGGGAATCATATGCAAATAATTATAAAAATATGAGATTGGAAAAATCTTTATTAAAAAAGTATATTTTTCATTAGAGTAGAGTCCATAGAATTTGCATGGTTCATGTAAAATTTAGATGAGGAATTGAGATGCTATGAGGAATTGGGAAAATTATGTTATTTCAACCATGAATTAGATCTTGCAAGACAGTTACACGAGATGAGCATGGTGGGTAATCAAAGAAGTGATTCGATTTTAACTATAAGTAAAAAAGGAATTCAATAATTGATCAATAATTATCCTCCATAATAAATATCTATTGATCAGAATATTCTATCAAAAATAGTTGACTTTCCTTTTGTTGTACGAGCAATTAAAGAAGAGAGAGATACTTAGAATAGATATCTCAGATAGCAAAAATTAGAATGTGTTATTATTGACAGAATGTATCCTCAAAGTGTAGAGGAGATACTAAACAAAGTGTTATAAAATCATAATTTCTTTTTTGAGATTCCTATTCCAATTGACTCATCTTACACAGTTGTGAAGCCTAAATCAAGAAAGGACAGAATTAAATCTACTTAAATGATTACTTGGATTAAATTGGCTATAGAAAAATAAAAAAATCCAGAATATAAATTCTAACCTAAACCTCCAGTGGAAAAAGTTGAAAAGAGAAAGCTTACCTTAGATTAAGCAGTGACTGAGAGGATTAAGGATAAGATTAGAAGTAGTATGGAAATAATATAAGAGATCAAATGCATGAAACCAAAAAATGATGATATTATTCGATTGACGCATGAAAAGGATCATAAGAGAATTCATGAGCATTCTAAGAAAGAACTTCTGAACTATGCAGAGTCATGTTTTTTAAACAAAAACATAAAGGTTTCCTTTAGTGTGCTTATTTAATGACATTATATTGTTAATTACTTTTAATATTTATCTCTCAAAACCTTCCCAACAAATTTATTTAAATGATAATTAGAGTTCAGATTAAGGAAATAAATATCTAAATGTTAAAAAGCTTTTTAATTAACTCCAAAAGTATATGAATCTCTCTTACATGATTATCAGCAAAAATAAAAGAGATATGGTTAAGATCAAATGAAAAGGACTCATTTAAAATTATTTGTTGAATTTGATAGAGGGAGAAGTTTGAAGGGAAAAATTGAAAAATAAATCAAATTCTGGAGCAACATTTACAAAAGTCAACTTAAACTAATTTCATTATTACTAAATTGATTTCTTAATTGAATAGTTCCTCAAAGCGATCTTTTTCGAATAACGGAATTGATTAATCCAATTTAGCATTTCAATAATCAAGATAATCATTTATGCAATATGAACCTTCCCTTCTAATGTCCAAACATAGAAATATTTTACATACATTGAATTAGAATAATTTCAAATGATCTTTAAGTGTTTAAAGTTGGTTATATTCATTATATTGAAGAAATTATATACTGAGTCTAAACGTTCTAAATGGTTGAACTAAAATGATCTAAACAAGTTTGCTTATGAAGCATTGATTAATTTTAAATTGCATATTTACTATTTTCATATGTATTTAATTCAAAATAACAAATCTTGAGCTAAAATTGTCAATATGATTAATATTATTCCAAGATATTAAAGATTACACACTTTAAAACAATATTTAGGGAGGCCAAATAAAAAAAATCATAAATTAAGTAGTTACATTAGCTTCATTTTTGAAGGTTAAATTTATGGACATCGGGTTAGAAAACAAGCTAAACAAGTTAAATTGAATTTGAGAAGAAATAATTTATTGCAATTTAAGTATTTACTTATCATATTCATAAATTCTAAAGTGACATGAAATTGAGTCTATTTTTTAATGTAGAATAACACGTAGCAAATAGAAATGAATATTTTTATATGTTTGGTTTTGAAAAACATTCTATATGCTTTCATTCAGAAATAGTTTATTGTTAATATATTCTTCAAATAATATTTTCATGATGTATAATAGTCAAATTGAGCAAAGCTAGTTTTCTGAGGCAATTCAGAAGCTCGAGCTTTTTATTAGTTGCAGATAATTAGATGATCTAGACACAGTTAGTGTTAGTGATCCCTATGTAATTATGTATCAAAAAAACAACAATTATTGTAAGAGTTCCATTAATTTATCTAGGGACTAAAATTGGATAAACAGAATTGATTTGGAACAATTTAAATCCAAATTTTGCGACCTCTATTTAATTGGAGTACCATTTTGAAGTTTAACAACATTTAAAAATGGAAGTTCACCATTACATTAGTCCAACCCAATCAAAAGTATTATATTTCTGAATATTATAGATCATTGGTATTGCAGAAACAACTGTGGCTGAAATAGCTGGTTCTAAGGATCAAATATTTATGGGTGATTTAGTTAATATTTCTGGAAAGAAAAGTGGAAAAATAATTGTTAAAGCAGACTAAGTTAAATAATGTAATGATGAGATCATTCTTACTTTATCTGGTTAGAGCTTACCTGAAACAAGATTTTGGTTTTGGCATGGGACATGTCCATTTTTAAGATTTTATAGATTAAGGAAGGATGATAATAATCCAGTTTTGGTTTATGAAACTGAATTTGCCAAGGACACAACATCTCCACTATGGAAATAAATAAGTTGCAAAGCCCAAAAATTATGCAATGGTGATTATCAAATGCCAATCAAAGTTGAATTATGGGATTATAGAAGTTCTGGTAAGCATAATTATTTAGGGGAAACGACATTTTGTGTAGAAGAATTAAAGGAGCATAGTACATAAAATAAAATATTAAAAAAGGAATTTAAAAACAAAATGAAAAAGAATGAATCTTCAGGTGTTTTATCGTTTAACAAATTTTAATTAAGAACTCGATATACATTTTTAGATTATTGTGCTGGAGGATAATAATTAAACTTGATAGTTGCTATTGATTTTACAGCTTCAAATGGTAATCCAAATGATCCAAAGTCACTTCATTACATGACCTAAAATGGTGCTCCTAGTCAATATTTACAGGCTATTATTAGTGTTGTGGAAATTCTAATAAATTATGATCATGATAAGAAGGTCCCTGTTTATGGTTTTGGATGCAAACCAAGAATGAATTTGATTAACACCAATCAAACCCTTCATTTATTCCCACTGAATGATAACCCAGAGGACCCAGAGTAAATTTTATAATCAATATTATTAGAGTGTATGGTTTAGATGGAATAGTATAATGTTATAGAACATCACTGCATCGTCTATCATTTGATGGTCCCACCTACCTACATCCAATCTTAAGAAATGCTATGGATATGGCTTAGCAATGCAAAAATTAAGGCAGTGAAAATTATTTGATTTTGATGATCCTTACTGATGGGCAAACAAATGATATGCAAGCATCTATAGATGATATAATTGCTTCTTCAAATTTACCATTATCAGTTATTATTATTGGTATTGGAGATGCCAATTTTAAGAACATGTCAATTTTAGATAATGATGATAAAAGTATGGTTGATAGTAAAGGAAACAAAGCAGTTAGAGACTTGGTTTAATTTGTTCCTTTCAATGAATTTAAAAATGATCCAGCTCTCTTATCTAAAGAAGTCTTGGCTGAACTACCAGATTAATTAGTAGAATACATGGAATTAATGGGAATACCGCCTAAACCACCTAAGAGTAAGAATTTTATATTAATATTAGATATTCAAGCTAATTAATATTAGATTCCAATCAATAATGCTCCTTAGTAGAATATTGGACTCCCATAGAATCCTCAATATAATGTATATCCTCAAAATTAGTAATTTTAAACTGATTAAGAAAGTCAATAATATCATTCTTAATAATAAATTTATTAGCAGTACTAGCAATAACAATATCCATAATAACCTCAATAGTTTATGGCACCATAATAATATGCACCCTAACAATAGCAGTACTCTCAACAATAAACTTATCCTCCTTAATAAATATACCCTCCTTAGTAATATCCATCATAATAGAATTTTCAATATTAACAATAGTAAGCCCCATAAACTGGTATGGCTACAAAAACTTTAGGGTAGGGCTTAGCACAATAGGGATTTTTAAAGGGATTTGTTTAGTAAGCTAATTAATAATTCAACTATCCATCATAATGATTATCCTTAAAAAGGTATCCACAATTATATTCTATAATTATTTATTTTTTTTATATGAGTTTTCAGTATATAATTTCTAAATCCTTTCTCCTCATATCATATATTATTATAAAAAGCTGCACCAATCAACGGCTAACTTGTAGGATATATAAATTGATAGATTAGAGTTGTTGTTAAATTATTGCAACACATTAACAAAATGAATCATTTATAGTCATTAAACAATTGTTTTATTATTTTCTAAATATTCATGAATGGAATAATAAAGGGTGGCAGAGAAAATAATAATCGCCAGAATTAATATTTATATGTCTAATTAGAATAAGAAAGCATCGTACATTAAGCCATTTCTTTTTGGTGGAATTTCAGGGTGTACAGCTGTAGCAGTTATTATGCCCTTGGATACATGGAAGGTTAGACTTTAGATATACGGGGAAAGTAAAGGAATAAGTTATGGTTCAACAAAGGTTTCTCCGATAGAAGTGGCGAAAGAGATGTATAAAGTGGAGGGATTGAAGGGGTTCTATTAAGGGTATTTAGGAATGTTATGTAATGTTAGAATGGGATCTGCAATGTTGAGACAATTAACTTATGCTACAGCCAGACTGGGAATATATAAAGTAATTGCAGATTCAGTCAAGATCAACTAAAAAAGTAAGATTGGCTTAATAAACTCACTAGGGGACCTCAGTTTCTTTGAGAAGGTTGCTGCATCTTCTTTTTCTGGTTTATGCGGAGCTTTGATTGGGAACCCTACCGATATTTGCTTAGTAAGATTTTAGGCTGATGCAACTTTGCCAATTGCAGAACGTAGGAATTACAAAAATGCCTTTGATGCTTTGTACAGGATTACCAAGGAGGAAGGACTGCCTACTTTGTGGAGAGGATCAACTCCTACAGTATTAAGGGCGATTGCAATCACAGTTGGTTAATTGACTACTTATGATGAGATCAAAGAATGGTGTATGAAAATATTTTTAAGAAAGAGGGAAACAATGTCTGATAGAATCATGTATAAAAGATTTCATAAATTAGGGCTTCAGTTGGAGCTGGTGTGGTTACATCTGTCTTATCATTACCTTTTGATAATATGAAGACTAAACTTTAGAAAATGAAAGTCAAAGCTAATGGAAAGTATCCTTATTCAGGAATTGCTGATTGTTTTGCAAAAACCATTTAAAGAGAGAAACTTACAGGTTTATGGGTGGGATTACCAGTCTATTTTGCAAGAGTGGCTCCTTAATCAATCATAATATTGTTGGTATAAGATTTACTTCATCGTGTATTTGAGACACATTGATTAATTTAAGTCTTTTTGGTTCACAATTAAATTTTATATATCTATAACAATTTTAAGAATGACTTTATCAAAAAAGTAATTTGCTTTTCTTTAATTTATATGATTAAAATACAACTTGAAAATAATGATTATGATAAAGTGGTATTTTATTGGTCAGATAGTTCTATCGGAGATCTGATAACTAATAAATCATTAGACGAAACATAAGAGATAATATTATTATGTGCATAGAAACATTTAAATTGAGTATAATTGACTTCTTATAATTCTATCTCTTAATAATTGATTTTCTCAAAGCATAGAAATTTGTATAGTTTTTGGGAAAATTAATTAGAATTAATCGTTTAGAACTACATAGATAGGAAAATAAATTAATGTAAATCATATATAATTTGCGAATTACTTTTTTATAAAAAAAACTAATAGAACTGGAATGGATCTGTGTTTTCAATTTCAATTAATATTTTCGTAAATTATTAAATGTTTAAGTATTATTTTGATGATGGTCAAATTACATAAAAATATACATTTTATTAAATATCTTATAATTACAGATAAATTAAATTAGAATAATGTCACTATTATACAGATGATTATCTACTCCTTTATTACGATACTTATTTACTACGGATTATGGATAAACGAGTTGGCTATTTCATCTAAACTTAAGTATTTATAAATTCAGATTGATTTGCATAATTGTTTTCAGTGAAATATTTAGTAAATTAAAAGGCCTAATCCATTCCTTGTAGACCTTCCTTAACCTCATACTGGTTGGTATAAGTATCAAAATTCGTCTTTAAAATGTTCTCAAACTTCTTAAATTCATCGTCATCTAAATGTTCCTACACTTGTTCTACCTCTTTCAATTTTTGTTCCATTTCAGATTTGACAACTATTTATTGGTTATCTACTTCCTCTCTCTTAAAACATTCAATTCTAACAAAAGTTTACCACTTCTTTTTCTCCTTTCTTTTGAATTTCGTTCTCCCCTGTTTGTCTTAATTAAACACAATTAACTTGTTCACATCCACTACCAAATGAGTCACTTCACATTCAGTACTGTAATGGGCTGTAGATTAGCATGTATAGCATTATCCTATTGCTGAGAAATCCTTTTAAAATTCTATTTTATCTTTAATCATCCAATACTTCTCGTAATCTTCATTAAATTTAGCCAATGTGCCTAAGAAATCCTCTCTTCTGATTTTGTATAATTAACTGTATTGTAGAGCTTAAGCAGATGCTTTTCTTTCAAAGCCAGTAAGAAAGGCGAATTCTCCAAAGTACTCTCCCTTTCCCAGTTTCTTTAATACCAATTATTTATTGAAATTATTAGGGAATATGGCTATTTATCCTACATTAATGAAATATATTGATTGATCATCCAAAAATTAGGGATCCTCACCTAAGAATATCATTTCATATTCAGCATAATTCATCTCTTAAATAGTCGATGATAGCTCTCTTAGAAATCCCCTTGAAAAGTTAGTACAAAACAATGGTATTTATAATAGAATTTTTCCGCAACTAGCTAGTTATAATTCGGCCTTCAATTCTGGAGCTAACTCTCCAATGATCTCTTATTCTCCTTGAATATCCCTATTTCCTTCTTAATACCAATGTTCATTCAGATATTATCTTACACGTTCCCTTAATTACTATGGCACATCCTTAACCATCATATATCTGTTAATTATCAAACGTTGTTAATAGCGTTTGATATCATAGATAGCATATTCTTCTAATATCTTAAATATGATATTGACCATCACCGCAAAAATGAGTACTGCAAATAATATGCCTCCCATACCAACCAACACTTCAAAAGTATTGAGGGGTTACATATCTCCATATCCCATTGTCGTTGTTGTTGTACCTACACTGAAATAATAGGAGTAGAAGAATTTTTAGATCTAAGTCAATTCACTTATGGCTCCGAAATTGCCTTCATGAGTCAACCACGAATTGTATCCATTGTTGGTTGCATAGAGACAAGCCAAATACCATATGCAAGCGTAGACAATAAAGACGAATTAAAGAACTGCTAACACTTTTCCAATTTAAAATATTGTACGCACTCTGCGATGAAGCATAACGATTTCACCAAATTAAAAGGAAATACGAGTTAGTGATGGATATTTCAAATAAAAAAATAGATACAACCATCTTTCGTTATATGTCGAAATAATTGATCTGATTAACAAGGCTAAGGTTGCAATCACATCAAATAAAAACCTCGATTACAAATATCTATGAGCAATTTTGGCTCTATCCACTACAAGGTTTCCATGTGAATAATAAGCCATATGAAATTCTAAGCACATATCGAATGAAAAAGTCACCAAAGCCAAGACAGCAATCAGAATTTTAGCCCATTCAGGTACAAACTCATATTTAAACAAACATTTACTTCCCAAACTTCTTTATCAAATGAAATATAGATTGGAATTTCGTAAAAGAAAAATATAATTATTAATCCTACCCAACCTTTCCAAAATAAGAGACCTGGAGTGTTCGGATAGAAAATTGGGATTGCCTCATGAACTATGAAATATTGCAATTTCTCATACACTTTCTATAAAATCCAGGCAAACTCATTTCTACTTATTTGACTTCCTTAGAATCAGCACTATGTTCAGCTACATCGTCGTTATACACTTTTTGAAGCAACCTCAATTTTTCTTCAGGTTATATCTCATTGCTCTTGTAATATTCATAAATATCCTCAACTTGCGTCTTGTTTCCTTTTTTGTAATTTACTTAGATTCTATACTTATTAATGATATCGTCATAGCCTTTTACTTTGCTGTCTGCAATTAAGCACTATTATTGATATGCTCCATCTGCTGATCCCCAAATTATGTCATTTCAACGCTATCTGTGGAAGAGTTAATTGAGTTCTGTTCTTTATTCATATTTAAATTAATTAGATATAATTCATCATTGTGTGTTCAAATATAGTAAACACGATATTCAAATCTAATAATAAAGATCTTAATATTAATATGTATAATAATTAACAAATAACAATCACAATAAGATATATGCTTTATTTTCAATCCAAAAATTGTCCTTGATAATATCCACATAAAATTCCTTAACTTACAAATCCTCTTTCTATTGATTAGGGAGTTGGTTTAATTCTTATTAGTTGAGTTCCTTGTATTTTTACTTTTTCTTTTATTTTTTATTCAATTTTTATTATTCTTTGGAATCCACATCTAATTCAACCTTTAAGTTAACTCTTTCTTGAGTAGGATATCTTATTATGGTTGTTCCCTTTTTGAACATTTCAAGCTCATTGTTATAGTTTTTTCCTAGTTTAGAAAATAGCAATTCATTTTTATCCCCTGCATTTGTACCAGCTAATGTTTTTTCAGCCTCCTGTTTATTCATGCCTTTTTGGACTAATCCCCAGAAACACGTATTGTATAAATTATTAATATGGCAATCCGCTTATCTCCATGACAAATAATCTCTAATGTTTTGTAGATCTGGATAACACACGCATCTTGCATCAAAAATAGGGATGTATGGAAATTGTAAAGGTTTCTTCATGAATTTCTCAAAATTAAATGTCTAGATTAAGCATTAATGCATACATAAACTGAAGTGAAAGTGGAACAAACACATGTTGCTATTTTATCTGATCTTCTGCTATATAACTCACTATCTTTTTTTAATACAAATGAAAATTCATCAGATTGTCCATATGCAATTTAAATATCAGGAAATGTTTCCATAACAACACATGCACTGAAACTCATTAGCTTAAGTCCTTGTTCATCATTAGGTTTTTCGAATTCGTAACTTTTTGTGAATTTGTGAAAACCTTTTCCATCTATTCTAACTACAATATAGGTGTTTGGTAAGAGATTCTGCATTTATTCAAATTGTTTAACATACTCAAATTTAGAATTGGCCATCTAATTAATAATGCACTTTTATAAATAATATTATTTCTCAAGTTAATTACTAAATTCTTTTGTAATATAATATTATCAGAAATTATTATCCTCAAAATTTTTTCATATCACTAACAAAAGTTTCATGGCTTCATCAAGACTTTGACATTGTTATATTTACTTCAAGATAAATGTTTTAGCATTTATCTCTCTTGCATCATCAATTTATAGCAAGACTTTAAGATAGTCAATAACACCAATTAATTCCTATATCAAAATAATTTATACATTATCCTTTGCATTATCAATGTAAGGTATGATTGGAATACCATTATCAATTTAGTAAGCAAAAGAATAAGCAGCATTATCAATCAAAACGACGTCCTTGAGATTCCTGTTCAAAATTCTCAAATCTTTTACATATATACCCTATTAGGTTTATATGCAATGCTCTCTATACAATCTACAAGTGACCCACTTTTTGGTTGGATCCAATTTATCAATAATCTTGTCAGCATATAAAGGATGAGAAGCTGTGAAAATCATAACTTCGAAATGCTTTGAGCATTCCTGTAAAAATTACTGAGCAAAGGGCCTCACGCTAATTCCTGCCTTTTTAATATAGTTTAGTATACTTCATGAATCTGCCCATTTGGCATTTAGATGGGAACCTTAAAATCATATTTCATCTATGGCTACTCATTACAATGAATCAGTGTTTCATCCAAATCGAGGACTAAAGTTTTTTGCTTTACTATGTAATCTATATATGAATTACTAATCTATTGTATTTGTATGCTTCGGCGCTCTATTTCCTTAATTTCAGGTTAAAGAAACTGTTTGCTGAGTTATAGACTATGAAACTGTTGAACAAAATGGTTGATATATAGTTGGGCATACAATCCCTCTAGATTTAGACCTTTGAGATATTTTCTTAAATTGTCCATGTAGTACGTTCCTAAGTTAATCTGCTTGAATTAATTGAAGGAGGATTCTTCCAAACCTTGTGAATCTTCCTGTAACCATTCAAAAGATTCGGTCCTTTTTACTCTTAGAGCTTTGAGTTCTTGTTTGAACTCATACACCTGGTATTGGGGATTGATTTCCTATTGTTAATGATAATTGGTTTTTCTAATTTTATTAATTTTCGATTTATCTGATGTTTTCATTTGTGATTCTCTTTATGTAAATTAGCTATTATTGAGCGAAGCATCCTTTATCACTCTTCTGGTTGTCTGTTCCTTTTTGGATGTAGTTTGAGAACTAAAAAAGGGCAGTTTAATATCTGAATATTATTATGTTGGGGACAGACATTCTATTTCCATACCTTGTTCTTGCTTTGGTTATATAATTAAATTAGGACTCTTTACTAATTATCATCTATTTGTATACCTCCTGATCATAATTGTTCCTTCCGCTTTTGCTCAACATTCTTGGTGTTTAGTTTTTTGGAAGAGATCGCTTTACTAACATCATTAATATTAATTACATTGAAAGGTATTTCCTGAGCCAAGGCAATCCTTTGGAATACTAAGTCCTTTCCTTTAAAAAACACTTTCTGATATTAATTGATTTGTGTTAGATGAATTCATGTAAATTTTTGGAGGTGAAGGCTTTCTGTTGCTATCAATTATATTATCTTTTGAATTGTCATTAGTATTAAATCTGGCATTACGTTTGGATCTCATCACTTATAAAAAAAAAATATTGATTAATACAAAAAATCATTAGAAAAATTTCAACATATTTAATCTTCATAATTATCTCTTAATTAAACAATTGCTGTTATTTTTCCCGTGATTTGACAGTTAAAGTGACTTCTAATTATTTTTTTCCTGCTTTTTCAATACTCATATTGTGATACAGAAAATTGATTCCTGATGCTAATTCTAAGCAAATTTAAGTCTTCCATTTACAATTTCACATATTACTTTAGCTTCTATATTTGTCTTTGTAATTAGCGATACATATATGTAAGTCTGATGCTAACATATATACAGCTCTATTTGATTATTTGTTCCATTTTCTCATTTTATGAAAAAGGCAATTTATGAAAACTTAGACCAACTTTGTCTTTATCCCAGAATTCCCATTAAAAAATATTACTTTTAAAATGCTATTGAAATTCTATAATTTTTTCTATATATTTTTATGTAATTTGGAATTGGAATTAAAAAATCTGAGTGATAATCTTTATTTTGATAGGTTTAATATCCTTTAACAGCTTTTCAAATAATGGGTGAAATATTATCTCCATGTAAATCTTGTGATTGGTATATATACAGAGAATTATAAAAAATAAAATCCTAATAATTAGACTTATCATTTTAATTGCAATGAATTAAACAAATGCTTAAAATGAATCATAATTAACACCGATTGAGGATGATTAAAATATACTGTTGGAGTAAATTAAGTATGAATCAAATGCAAATAATTAGGGTTCCTTAAATAGAGAAATCCTTTTTTATCAATCAGATTGAATATAAATATTAAGGACCTGATCATCCATAAATTGCAGAATTATTAGAATTACTCGATGAAAAGCAAAGAAAACCCTTATCCAATTAGACTTTGGAAAGCTTTAGACAAAAAATACTCTATTATGAATAATAGTTCAATAAAAATTGCTCATTTTTAGATAATATGTTTTAGATATCATTTTACCATATGTTGACAATTATTGTTTATATGAGCATATATTTTACATATTTAGCTAGTGTGATTGTATGACTTAGTTTAACTATGATTAGTCTTTGAAATCGGATGATATGATCGTTAAGAATTCAACTAAATTAAATATTGTTTAATAACTACCTGAATTTGGTATTATGATTACAAGTTTCGCATTAGCGTAAATTAATTTAGTATATAGATAGGATAATAGTAATAAAGAATTAAATAATCCTACTATTATTATTTATTTTTGGATGCTTATTCCCAGGGTTCTATTTATTCTATGTATATTTAGATGTATTCGATGTAAATAATAGTGCAATTAATTATGATATGGTTTTATTTTTAAGTGCATTTATAATTTCTATTTTGAATGGCATTGTTGTTTCTGTGCTTCAACAGATAGTGGAAACTATGTACAATTAATTGATGGGAGCAATATTTTCAAGTGGATGGTGCTTGTTTATCATCTACTTGTTAGGATTTTTAATATTTACGTATGTGATTGGCTTGGATGTTATAACAGCTGAGAAAGTGATCAACTACATCATAAATTCCTTATACATTCCAATATTTGTGTCGATAGCCTTTTCATACTTTATGATAAATACAAGGTTGTTCGACTGGCCTGCAGGCATTATCAAAATCGCTTTGGATAGGGTAAAAGTAAAAATATTGAAATAACAAATTTAAAAGGAAGAATAATAGTAATCCCAAAAATTAGTTTAGATAACTACTTTTATTTCTAAGTTGGTAATCTACTCTATTGGGGCAGTATACATCACTATGGAAATTATATTTTATATTTTGTTGGCTTCTGAGTTGAAATAATCAATAGTGGATTACACAGCCATAATTACTTTGTCTTTAGAATTGATAATAATTCCATTGTATTTATTTTTGGGGGTCTTCATATCAGTAAGCGATAGGAAGCCATAATACACATATCTAATGGTGCCTTTAGTAATAGGAGCTCCAATAATATTTGGATTTTTGAAATTGGGTGATTATTTGGAATACGAAAAGGACATAACCAACTTCACTGAAATTTTGTATTACTGTCCATTGTTTGTGAATATTCTTTGGTTGTCTTTAACATTGATGGGATTAGATAAAAGGAGATTGTTCATTAATTCATTAGGATTCGTCTGTTTTTTCATTGCAATTCCAATTGGAGTATTTTTACCTCTATATAATCTTTATCAATACTCGTCCTTGTAGATAATTGCATATGTTTTCATCGTAATAGGGATGATAGTGCTATTATTAGTATTACTATATTTTTTCTTCCAATCCCTCAAAGCTATAAAAAGAGCCAAGGAATTAGCTGACCAAATAATTCCAACTTTTGATGAATTCAAGTACTACAATCTAACTGATTTAGCATTTTGCATAAATTCAGTTTGTTTTTTATTGTCTTACTTTATAATAAGTTATTTCTTTTGGTATATATTTGATCAAAATAACACAGCAACAGTCACAGAAGGTGCAACTATGTTTGCCATAATGGTCATTACACCACTATTATTTGTACTTATCAATATAGCCCTTGGACATCGATCATTAGAATTAACATATGAATTTGCTTAAGACATAAAGGAATTATAAAAACTAGAATAATAAAAGAATAGAAAGAGAATTTAGAAACGATTTTATTAAAATACAGCTGTTTGTTGTGGTATTTTGGTACCATTGTGTTTGTTCATTCCGATATCTCTATTAATATCAGATGAGAGAGCTTCTATCTTATTCGAGGCATTGTCAATTGGAGTTCCAGTGTGCTTTCTAATTTACAAATTCCTTGTGACAATTAAAAATCAATCAATTTCATTTGAGGATTTCTTTCAACCTTTTGTTAGTTCATTATTGTGGTGTTGTGTTATTTTCCCGTTTGGAGTGATAGTGCCTACATTGGCAGTGTTTTTTAATAATGCAGACTCAACATTCTAATTTTTTGCATAGGGAGCAGTTGGATTAGGGTTATTTGTATGTATGATTGGAGTGACAGGGACATCATTGTTTTTGTCTTTGCTATTGAATAGAGAGGAATTTGAAAGAAAGAAAAGAGAAATTTTGAAGAAGGTATTGGAATTACTCAAAGAGAATCATGTTCTTAGTGATTTAAGTGTTGTCGGGATACTGTATATGAAATATTTAAATAAGTTGCAAATCATTTATACCAAATTAAATGCTATAAAGAATAAGGGTTAAAAAAAGAAATAGAAATAATAGGATTTTAGAGAATTGAAATAGATATTGACAGAAAATCTGATCCAAGGAGAACCCATAAATGTAATAAAATATGATGGACCTGACTTGGAGTATGATCACAAGTTGGTAAGTAAGAATGTATATCAAGAATATCTTACTTTATTGGAATAGGAATTGTTGGATAAATAGAAGAATATTGTTAAAGAATAGGAATTAACAGGGTGCAAAAAGTATTTAATGGACTGTTTGTGTTGCAGATGTGGTCTAGAGGAAATGAATTAATTAGAAAACCAAAAAAATGTTGAGATTATAAAACTTAGAGATATCTTAAACATGGATGAAGATGCTGGACAAATAATGAATGATCTTATTCCGCAGTTCAGCTCTTTTTATAGGATTGCTGATGAAAGTGATACACTTCTAAGGAAGATAGAGTGTCAGCCTGAAGATAAACAACTCCTTTATAAATAGAAGTACAAGCCAGTCTAAGAAATAAAAAGCGAAAAAACAGACAGTCTAAATTAAATTCAAATCAAAAAATTAAATGATAAAGCATTAGGGAATATCAAATCATCAGATCAGTACTTTTCATTATAATCATCAGATCAAATGATTGCAGAATTCATGCATGAAGTATTCATGGAATTTGCTAATAATGAATAAGGTTTGGAACCCTCTATTTGTTTTGCTGACTTACAGTAATTCTGTAGATTGACTGAATTGCATTTTGATTTAATAGACTATGAAAAATATGCCAAGACTATCTGGATAAATTAGACCTATAGTTTAAATGAAGTATAATTTGCTGGTTTGATCAAAGGGATGATCAAAGATTACGACGGAGATCAATTTGATAATCTGAAATAGTTAGTGCTTGACCACATATATCCATAACTCATAACTTCGATGAAATCTTTAATGATAAATTTCAAATACTAAAATAAGAAGGTATTACAAACTAATAAACTCAAAACCAATCCTTTCGAAAGATAGAATTTCATTTCAAATGCTGTTTAAGCAGAATTCTCGAAATTTGATGCGATTAAAGTTAAGTAAGCATACCAAGATGAAATCAGCAATCAATCTAGAATCTACTAGAATAATTCTGAAAACAAAGTTGCAAAACTAACCAAAAAATAGAAAGAACAGTAATATGATTAAAGCAAATATTAAATTGAATAAGATTATGCATTCAAATTACCATGTTATAAGAGATGTTGTTATTCATGCAATAACTGGTTAAGAGTGAATCTTGTTGAGAAATACTTTCCTAATTTAGCTGCTGCATAACCAAAACCAAAAGTTGACAAAAATGCAACCCTTGATCACAAAAGATAAAGAATGCCTGATTGGAAACTAGTTGCTAAATTGACCATCGATACATTATTTGAAGCAACTGAAGAATATGAAAATAACTTAGCTAATTAATAGCAGAAATCCATTGAATTCAAACCTACCTCCAGTAACATACTTGCTTTGATTTTTAAACTCTATGATATGTATAGTCTAGCAAGTGTAGCTTACAACCCTTAAGTAGGGTGGTTTGGGAGTACTTCCATCTCCGGATCAGATACAATCAGTGGATCAGCATTCTATGATAGTTATGACTTCTTTTTCTATTTCTCTTTAGGAATAGCCATACTATATGGACTGTTGGGATCTCTGAGTTTAAATGCTGTGCAAAAGAATACCTTTGGATAAGATGAAAATGGTAATTTGGCAAGATTCCCTCATATTCAATTCATTCTCCCAAGAGTTATCTCAATTTTGAGTGGTTTCTTTATGACTGTAATGAGAACATTCATGGATGCCTACATTTGTGATTACGGTGATTTGCCATATAAATTTGCTAGAAACACATCTATTGAATGTCTGTCAACCAATCATTACATCTATATGGGTTTTGGATTGATTGGAGTAGGGATCTACTATCCTCTCTCCACCTATTTGCAACCTACTTTTTAATTCAGTGATCATTCATTAGATTTGAAGTATAAATCCACCTACATAATAATATATGTCTAAGCAAAACTATTGATTATGGGTTTAAGCTCATTTTTCAATACTTTTGATAGTTCATTTGAATATTAGATGCTATTCTCAATTGGAATCCTAGTAATTGTCCTTGGTTTTCACTTCAAAATGGAGCCTTGCTTTGTTAAGTGGTATAATTTAATAGAACAGATGCTAATTCTAATTATTATCTTTATTTACACAGGTGCTGTGATCATAATGATGACTGGCAACAATATTATAGGTATTATATTTACTGTTGTTGCCATTCTAATAGGTTTTCTTTCAATTGCATTCTATATCAAAATATCAGTCTATCGTACTTTAAACACTACTAGAGTTACACCTCAAGATAATCTTTAAAGTATGAACTCAAATTAATCTTAGTCATTGAAACAAGACCAATTCCAGAAGAAAGCAGACTCAATATTTATGATTTGATTGCAGAATCTTAATTTGCGTAATAATCACAAAAGAAAATCAAAAATAAGAAAACTAATTTAACTCCTGATTAAGAACAATACCCAAACTTTGATATGACAGTTGGAGGCAATAATTAAAGTAGTAATTCATAGGAGCTAATTAAGATCAAAGAAGAGATTAACATGGAACCAATTTCAGTAAATAAATCTAATTTATCAAAATTAAGATTGTGAATTTAATAATTTTAAATTTGATATCGATTCATTTAAGTTTGAAATTATTATTTAATATAAAATAAGAAAATTTGAGAAAGTTAGTTAATTTATAAACATCAAATTATTGACATTCTTGCTTTACCTTTATTCCATCTGACAAGTTTTCCATCAGACCATTCTCCTTCTTTTTCGATTCCATTGTATCCTAAATAAATACCTATACCATGTTATTTGTTATTCAACCATTCTCCTTTATACAGCTAAAATTAAAGATATAATTATTACTCTACCATCAGGCCATTCAAATTATCCCACTCCCTCTTTAATTCCATTATTGTATTGTCCTTCGTATTTCCTCCCATCTGGCCATTTAAATTACTAAATATGATAAGATGTTTTGTACTCCATGTCCATGCATACAATTATTCTTCCAAGATCCCTCATAGACTCTACCATCATCCCATTTTAATTATCCGATTCCTTCAAGATTGCCATCGATGAGTTATCCTGTATACATTGACCCATCTGACCATTTGAATACTCCCTATCCATTTTTTAGTCCATTTTTATATTCTCCATCATAAGTAGTGCCATCATGCCATATTTCCATTCCGTGTCCATTTTATACATTATTTTCCCATTGTCCTACGTATTTCAATCCATCAATACTGTAATATATCCCCTAGAAATGAATGATTTATTTACTTCACCAGAAGCTTTATCATTTTTAAATTCTCCTTCATAAATGTTGCCATCACTATGAACCAATCTACCACGACCATCAAACATATTGAATGCCCAATATCCTTCGTAAAATGTCCCATTTAACCAATATTACTTTCCGCATCCATGTCTATGACTGAATAAATAGTTTGCTTACCCATTCTTCCACTATCCGTGGTAAATGCAACCATCATCAAGTTAATATATTGGAAAATTAAATTTATTGTCTTCTTCACTGTCATATTAAAATGTTGTATATAATTACAGAATCTTTCAATTAAAATAAAATGTCATATTACCTTGTTTACTCTATTGCTTAAATACTCAGGTACTTTTGCTAATTTCTTCACCCTATAGACTTGTTGATGTTGACTTTTAGGCATATGAGTGATTTTGGTGTCTTGGAAGGGTGAGGAGTCCTTGAAACTTAACTCATTAGAATAGTGGTTTTATTCTTTTTTTACCATTTTCTATTTTCGCAACTTCTGAATAAGACTCTAATATCTTTTCCTCACCAGAAATCCTCTAGCACATGCTAAAATATAACTGGCAATCCTACCCTAGATGAATTGAATTTGTTTATGATATTTAAGATCATACTCAGAAATGATAGTATTTTGTATTTATGTTTATAAGATGATCTGACAATTCTTTTCCTGTCCTTAAGAACTAGTGCAGCATGATCCCATTTAAGTTCTAACTTTCAAAAATAATTTATATATATAAATATATATTCATCAACTATAAGTGAAATATCATGGCATCCGCGATCCTTTTCATTGATATCCTTCCAATCCCATTCTCCTTAAGGTATGATTAAATATCAAAGAAAATTGAATAATTAAATTAATATAATAAATGAAATAGCAATTACCTAAGAGTACTTCCTAAACAGCCATTCCAAAACCAGAGAAATCTCAAACTATCAAACCACCAGAAAGACATGGCATTCCCAGAAATGTTAACTACTATAGCCATTTTTTAGGCGAGCCCTATATCACTGAAAAAGATATTGAATTTGTGCTCTAATTAAGAAATATTGATCATGTAGATTCTCTATCTTGACTTTAGGCAGAAATGACAGCAAAATTGGCAAGAATTCCCAATCAAACCTTCTCAAGAGGGGATCAAAAGATAGAGTCTTAAAAGGACAAACACCTCTCCAGGGATGTAAAGTATAAGGGCAATTCTACTCCCGTCCTTCACCTTCTTAAAGGTAGAATTGGTCCCACTCCTCATCTCAGTTAAGCAGAGTTTGAAACCGGTTTAAGATCTTATGCTAAAACTGATTAAAGTCTTCTTGACAAAGAACGTAATTGGACTACCGTCCCAAAAACGTAACGTAAAGATGCTTTCCCAGAATTCCTGCCAAATTATAAGGAGGAGATCTAGAAAAAGAAATCAATGAGCATGAGTGGAGGGAAACTTGCTAAACTAACTTATAATGGTAATCATTTAATTTCATTATGAAAGCTTTTGATTCTGATTCAAATTACCCTTCTTATTAAATGAAGTTTCATGAAAAAAATCTACAAAATGTTAAACATATGTTTGTTCCTGCAATCAAGATGTCCACTGTCCAATGGTAAGAAGGACTTAGACCTCTTGAACCTATAAAAAAAGAAAAAAAGCCAAAAAAATGATTTTGAATCTACGATAATTAAATGTAGTCATATGATTAAATATCTATATGAAATTTTCTAATCTATAATATCGCAGTCTTTAAACATTGAGTCATTTGAGTGTATTGCAGTTTCAGACATTATAGATATATATTTATCATTAAAAGAAATCAAAGATATTGTAAGCAAGATCATATGTATCTAATCTGGGAATTCAATTTCAGATTCTGAATGAAGTTTGAGACTAAATTTAAGCTTTTGAAAATTATTTTTTAAATCCTTATGAAATTACTATGTCGTTTGCTAATAGTTATTTTCTCAATATAACACAACTTCTTATTATTTTAAAAAATAGAAAGGTTAATTAATAGGAACATAATGTGTGTTAAATTATAGAGCATTTTCATATAAGGACTTTAGATACAATTTTATTAAATGTTCTAGATTTCTTTTATATATATTGCATCTGCAATACATTTAGATTACTAAGTTTAATATTTCGAGTTTCTTAATACTAAATAAGTTGTAAAATTTATCACCAATTAGAGACACATAACAATAAATATTATTTTTTGAAAAGTTCATTATAGTTTGATATACAAATATATGTTCTGGAGATCACAACTTGTAAGCTCTCTAATTGAGTAATTTTAAGTATAATTATCCAAAAATTGAACTATAAATTGATGACTGAAATGAATTATCCATTCTATTAATTTTAACTATCAACAAAGCCTGTTACAGTTTAAACCCTAATCAAATAAATCTTGTAATTTTACTTGGCTGAAGGAAATAGATCGTATCTGCTGATCCTGAAGATGCAATCGTATAATTATAGCTATAAATATAAGGAAACTGAATTGATACTATAATTAAATATTTATGGGTAATTGTTGTCCTAAGGGTGATGCACATTCAGAGAAAAGCTCAATTGCCAACATTCTAAATGAGGAAGTTGAATAGACAAAGCTAAAGGCTACCCAACCTATGCAATCCAGCCAAAACTTAGTTACAAGTAGCAATGCATTGACAGTACCAAAATCAAAAGGGTAGATAAATAGGGAAGATTTCGTAAAAATTGATAAACTAGGATATGTATTATAAAATGGTATCATAGGGAGCATTTGGAATTGTGTATAAAGTGAGAGAAAAAACGACAAATAAAATATATGCAATGAAACAGATAGAGAAAGAGAAGATATTCAAAAACAAGTTACAAAACAATACAGTTTTAGAGAGAAATGTTTTAAAGCAGAGCAAGCACCCTTTTATTGTTCGATTAAAATATGCATTTCAAACAAATTCCCATATTTATTTTGTAATGGAATACATAGCAGGTGGTGAATTCTACAAGATATTGAGTCAAGTGAAAACAGGATTGCCAGAAAATGTAGTGAAATTTGTGGCTGCAGAGGTAGTGTTGGCTCTTGAATACTTAAATACAAAATTAAAAGTGATATATAGAGATTTAAAACCAGAAAACTTGTTGCTGACAACTACTGGACACGTAAAATTGACAGATTTTGGATTAGCTACCATGAGAAGGGAAAACGGAGAGAAATCATATACTGTAAATAAATAAATATTAAATCATTGTATAGGTTGCTGGAACTGCAGAATATCTTGCCCCAGAAATCGTGAATAAATCAGGACATTCGTATGAAGTAGACATTTGGACTTTGGGAATATTAATTTATGAGATGATTAACGGTTTCACTCCCTTTCGAGATTCGAATAATGATTTCAAAGTAATCTCACAGAAAATTATTGAAAATCAACCCATATATCCAGAAAAGATGTCTCCGCAAAGTGTGGATCTAATAAAATAGATCTTGTAAACCAATCCAACTGAGAGGTTAGGAGTGAAGGTACAAAACCTATATTAATAATTAGGGAGATGGATATGCTGAATTAAAACGACACTCATTTTTTAACGGTATTATATGGGATTAGATGTCGAATTTAAAAGTGACTTCACCTTTGAAGACCTTTGCTGAGAGAAATACCCAGAAAATGAATTTGATTAGTAAATAACCTTAGAATTTTCAAAACACTCCTTGTAATCCCTAGAGTCCGAAGCTTAAAATTGATGGAATCACTTTTGATGGAGAAGGCGGTACCTTATCTTCGCATTTTTGAAATTATAATTAAATAAATGACTTGAACAGCATTCAAAAATGATCAATCATCATCTTCAATAGGATAACCTCTGATCTTGCTCATGGGAATGAATATTTAATTTTTCCATCCATCTTCCAACTTAACCTTATCAACATCATTAGGGAAATTGGTTTATATGATTTTTAATTCACAACTATCTTCCCTTTCAATCAGTCTGAGGGTAACATTTGAGTGTTGTTTCCAATTGTTGAATTTCCATGTCATTTATATTTCTTGATTTTCAACCTAATAATCTAATCGAAGCATACTAATTTATTGAACACGCCCTCAATACGTCCTTCCATTATTTTATATTATCCTCCTTCTTTTGGTTCAACAACAGCAGGTGCTCTTGTGTATTGCATAATCTCAAATGGATCAAGAAGAGCTTAATAAATGACCTTAGATGGTACTCCCCAAACAATAGAAAATTCCAATTTGTCCATATATTAAAATTAATACTTTTTTCATATAATTCTATATAAATAATATGTTTAAGACTGTTCCAGAAATGTGTTAAACATAAATAATTTAATTAAACTAATTCCAAAAACAATCCACTGAAATACATCTAAGTACAAAACTATAATGGACAGGAGTAGTAGTTTTCTGTTTATTTTATTTAATCAAATCTCTGATTATATTCTAATATATTCACAATTAAATAAATAAATTGACTGACCTTTGTATCTTAAGCAACCAAAAAATAAAAGAATACTACGTCAACAATTATGGAAATCCAAATAATTAAATTGCCCCTTCCTCCAGTTTGAATTAAATAAAAAAAGAATATCTTAATTCACTAGAATATTTTATTCAATTTAAACATTTGGATATCTATCTGTGTATACTCCAATAATCTATTAAATTCACATCTATTGGAGAATCTTTCGCTTTAATGGAAACTTATGTTCCCATTAATTTTATGAGAGCTTTCTTAATAATTTGAATTATTTATTTTTACATAAATAACCATATATTTTTTTTTATTAGTCATGAGACATATTTATTATTTTATCTTTTCATCTTAATCTTTTGCTGTATTTCTCTTTAATGCTCACTGGCAACCTACTTGGACACCAAATAATTTCAAGATCCTATTGCAACTATTTGCTTGTTCTAACTTTATCAATCCTAATATCATCATCTTAACAATTTGTCTTCTTCATCTTGCACAATCTACTATTCTATAGAGAGTATACTTTAAGATATTTTGGTATTCTACACCTAAGACTGTGAATCTAGAGATTATCCAATATCAGATTGCTTTTCAGATATTTTAACATTGTATTGATAAGAAACTCTGCCATTATTCAAACACACTGATTACTTATAATAATATTATTCTTTAACAACTGTCCTTATAATTAAATGAATTTTTGCTATTACATTGATGTTTATCAATTTATTATTTTCTGTCAATTAATTTCTCTAATAATGATAATACGAAGAAGGATACATAGTTATCAATTACCTCGAATACACAAAATTAATCGATCAAACACCTCCGAACAACATGATTCAATAAAAATTAGTAAAAGTTCTTCCATCTAACTCAATAAAAGATCACTATTGCTGTTGTCATTTTTTAAGGACCCTAAATATGGAGATCTCACTTCTCTATTAAATATTCCCGTAAATTACCATGATTAAGTAGGATGATGCAGAGTCAACTGATATTCGGGTTAACATTCAATCAGAGATTTTGGCCATAATTCTAAGTTATTTAATCAAACATGATTTAACTGTTTCCTTGCGCTACAGTTACAAGTTTAGATATATTAGAACGATTACTACACATCACTAAATGTGGATGAAATGCATTCAGCAAAACGAAGAACCATGTTAGAAATTATAATAAGTTTAGTTCTCTTTAGATTAAATTACATCCAATATAATACAAAAGTATGTTTATACCAATCATTTTATAGCCACATCGACACTACGGTACTTAGAATTCAGTTACTTGAGTATCTTAGATTGAAATAGAATCAACAAACCTTTCCAATATACTCCAAAATAATTATCAACAAAATACTATCTCTTTTACTAACTCCTAATTTAAATAGCTATCACATACCAACCAATTTTGAATCTTATACACTTGTCTTAGATATGGATGAAACCTTAATTTATTATGATGGTGACAAGGTTCATCAGCGTCCATTCTTATTAACTTTTTTAAAATAAATGAGTAGGTTATACTAACTGATTTTGTTCACTGCAGGGTTAGAATCATATGCTAATAGAATCTTAAGTCAGCTTACTATTAAAAAATACTTTACTCATCTTCTTTTTAGATAGCATACTAATATTTATTAAGATTTCTATGGTAAAGATCTCAGGAAATTAGGAAGACTCTTATCAAGAACAATTATTATTGATAATACTCCTGAATGTTTTAGTTTGCAACCAGAAAATGGAATACAAATTTAGACTTGGAAAGGTGAACAATCAGATTCAATACTCTTAAACTTAATTCCCATCTTGAAAACATTGAGATTTAGTAACAAAGATGTCAGAATGAAATTAAGAGAATATAAAAATTGTCCTGGCTTGATATTCCCAAAATGAAATGTTATAAATCATAAGTTATGTTGCCAATAAACTCTATTTCACTTTATAACAATATATTTAATACATTAAACTAAATTTAATATATCTATATATCTATATATGATAGATAATATCAAAATATTTAAAAATTCTAAATCTATAATACATAGATCAATATTTAAATAAAAATTTCTAATCTTGAGTTGCAGTTGGAATAATAAAATTTGGTTTCAAGAATTTAGATTATTGATGTTTTAAATTTTGAACTTATTTTATTGTATATAATTATTGATTATTTGTATAGCTGACTCATAGAAATTTAAGGGAAATTGCAAAAGAGTTTATTACATATATATTGGGCCTATTTGAATTTATGAAATCTCATAAAATGTGAAGCTAAATTTAGTCGGTAATTCTCCAAATGCCTTTTTATATGGATTTTTTAATGTGGAAAAGGTTTAGCTTAAAGGAAAAGAATGCTTTTGATAGTAATAATATCAGAACCAATTATGAAGATCTTGATTCTAATAATCTGAAAATTTAATTAAATAAATAACAATTAGGAGTATTGAGATGATAACTATGGTTCCGAGTATAATAAAATCAGTTATTCATGAAGGATAACTTTTCTTTAAAGCTAAGGACGTTTTTGATAAGAAATCAAATGAACTTGCATAACTAATTTGTTAAGTGGGTCAATCTTTGGAACAAGTTGAATACTTTAATAATATACAGGAAGATTTATATACGAATGAACAGAAACAACTGATAATGCAATGCAAGGATTATTTACACTAAAGTGAATCACTATTACAATCGTTGCCTTCCCATCCTACTTTGTAATTAATTTGTTTCTTATTTCTTTAAGAATAAACGGTTACTTCTATAGTAAGAGTAGCAATTATAAGGAACTGGTGTAGAGCATAGAAGAGTTAGTTAGGATAAATAATCAACTTCACGAACTGGAATTGTAATCATTAGAGATTCTTAAAACAGTAGTAATTCCGAACTTCTCAAGGAAATAATCATTCCAGTGTACATAATTCTGATTATGATTAGAATCAATCTACGAAATACAAATAGTATTAAAACTTAAAGCCCCTAAACTTGTTAAAGAAATATTTGATTAATACCCCAGACATTTGAAGAGTGAATACAAATTTAAAATACAGATGGAAGAGGCTGACTCTCACAAAAACGTGTTTCATTTTTAGAGGATGTAATTTCTTAAACTCTAATAAATGATGAAGGAAGTTAAAATATATACCTTATCTAAAAATAAGCATTGTAGTCTAGAAATCAGAAATTCTCTTCAATATTAGCATTCCACTAAAAATATTTTCATTCCTGATACCCAATTTATATCTTCTTAAATCATTTCAATGGAAAATTTATAATAAGATTAAGAAGATAAGCCCAATTTTTTGAAATTGTTTTTGGTATAGAATGGTTAGAATGGGACTACAGTAATTCGGAATTAAAGGACTACTATGCATGTGAGAGTGAGTTAAGAGTGTGAATTGTTCGAGAAGGACCAGATAGTGATTTTGTAGGATTCCAATTAGGACCCATTAATTTCATATGTAGTTTAATTGATTATGATTAAATTATGTTGATTACTATTCATATCCTGATTCTAGAATTCAATCGGACTTATATATTAAATAATAAATAAAAATATATCAATCAAAATATGCTTTAAAGATCAGTGTATTAGTTATTATTAAGTCCGCCAGAATATTATTGTTATTGTTGTTGTGGTTATTGTATTTTATCTGCTATGCTTTGTTGTAAGTAATCAGGAGTATTAGTAATATCATTAAAAATTGGTTATTATTGGAACATGAAGGATTGGTTGTTTTATTGAGGATTGACATACAATTGAACCATTTAACCCTCCCAATCAATATTGATTCTCGTAACTCTGGGTGCAGACGTATTGATTTGTCTGTATACCCTATCAATGAGCACTTGAGGAGGGTCATTTTCGATTAATTCTGGTTCCAAGTAAGTATTATACACATAATATCCAACCTAGTCACTTTAGAGACCAAAATAATTACTCTAAAGAATTCCTGCTTTCTATACTTAACACTTAGGATAATGGCACTAGCGCCAAATAAATCATCTTTACTAGGAATCAGCTCAAAATTTGGACCAGAACTCATTAGAGTAAATTACATAGTTCCTTATTGTAGAGGAGGCATGGAAAACTATTCAAGTACTTGATCATATTTATCGCTATTTGGGGATCCGATGTAAATAAGTCTAAGTTTTGATAATCTAATACTTCCACTCAATTTCCTCATCCAATTGTCTCATCACGTCGAAAGTAATTTACATCTGAATTGGAGTGTTAAACAGTGCTGTGTCTTAATCGAAAACGATGTTGGTGATATTAATCAATGCCATTTACAAATTTAAATAATAATAAACCCTCGAAATTTTATCTCAAATTTTAATCAACGTATTTAACTTAACCATATGATAAAATATTAATTTATATTAAATTCTAGTAATTCAATAGGTTTCTAATACTATCCAATCTCTTACATAAATTGGTGATATAATTCAACCAAATTTTTGGTTGTGATTCAATTAAATAGTGTATTTGGGACGAGATCATAAATAATAATTAATAGAAGAATGCCATTTATGATACATAAATATATTGTGATAATAAATTTACAACATCTATTAATGCATTTATTAGAGATTATTAATTTTATGATGAATTCTATTATAATACTAGAAAGTAAATGAATTATTTGATAAAGATGATTTCATTAGAAAAAGGATTAAAGCAATGGCATCCAAAATGTTCGAGATAAATCCCATAATTAATTTAAATGTGTTTACATTATAATTAGTATTTAATTAACTCATGAATATGACAATGATGATAATATACAGACCTGTTCTGAAACAAGTATGCTGCAAAACATTTCCATGCTAATGCTGATATATATATTTATTAATTTTTTTGTTAAGTATCCCATGTTTATATGAGTAGAGGATAGCGATATAAAGTTGTTTAAAGATTTAAAAATAAAAATCATATAGAAAATGTACGATGAAGAAGATTACGATATTTTGATGAAAATAATTATCGTTGGGGATTCGGGAGTGGGCAAAACGAATTTGGTGAATCGCTTCGCATAACAAAAATTCCTGGATGACAGTAAACCAACAGTGGGAGTTGAATTCTTCTGTCGCAACATTGATATAATGGGAAAAACGATAAAGGCCTAGGTTTGGGACACTGCAGGACAAGAGAAGTATTTATAGTGTAAATAGAGATTTCGAGCAATAACTTATGGATATTATAGAGGTGCCTTGGGAGCTATGATCTGCTATGACATTACTAAGGAATAATCTTTTTTGAATGTGGAGAAATGGATAGAGGAGCTGAGAGAACACGGTGACAGCAATTTGGTGATGATGTTGATAGGGACTAAGTCTGATTTAGAGAGTAAAAGAGTATGGTAATAATTTCAATTAGGTTGTGAGAAGTGAGGATGGCATGCAGAAGGCACTATAACATAACATGGCATTTTTGGAGACATCGGCCTTGAAAGCAGCAAATGTGGGCAAGGCATTTTCGATGTTGCTTGAAAGTATGAGTGAGAATTGATTTTAGAGATTTATGTGGGCATTGACAATCAAGGGAAGGAATATCAGAAGAGAGCCAGTATAAAGTTAACTTCTGAGCCAATAACGATTCAAAATGCTTAATCCGCGAAACCAGATGAGAATAAACCCAAGAAGCAATGTTGTTGAGAATGGTTTTTTATTTTAATTTAAAGTTACTAATAGATTGACATTAAATTAAATATTTAATTATGAGCACATTTTATTTATTTGAGGCAGCAGCTGGTTTAGCCTTATTTTAATGTGATACTGTCGATGAAACAAATGTCAAATCGAAATAGATTCAAAAGCAATTCTCTGACTTTGCTTAATTCGCAGAAGTATGTCACTTGAAAGTAATCATCATTCCTTATTCAGGCATTTCAACCTTTTATTTCTGCTGAAATCGCATTGAACAATGCCTTAGCAATCCACACAGGCACCGTTACATAAGAGTTGGTCGATTTCTTATCAACCAATCTCCCTCCTGTTGGAAAGAAGAGCAAGTAATCCCACTAATTTATACTAGTTTCTAAATTGCAATATGTGACAAAGGTCTGGCTGCTGGACTCCAATAATATTTGAATTTGAAGAGTAAAATGAACGAAGCCACAGCCCAAGTGTTCAGAGGTATTAGAACACACTTCGTTGATTTCTTGAGAAATGAAGATTTCAAAGAAAGAGATTACATTTAAGCCTAACTCGGTTTGGCACATCAAGTATCCAGAAACAAGGTGAAATTGGATATCAACAGAGAAGACAAACATGTAACTTAGGCTATCAGCATCATTGAATAATTGGATAAAGATCTAAACACATTAAGTATGAGAATCAAAGAATGGTACTCATGGCATTTCCCAGAATTGGCCAAGATTGTCACAGACAATAGAGTCTTCACCAGAATTGTTGATACCTATGGAGACAAGAAGAATATCAATGATGAAGCTTTGGAAGCTATCGAAGAACTCACAACAGATGCTGAATTGGCTAAACAAATTGTAGAAGCAGCCAAGATATCCATGGGTTAAGACATCTCAGAAATAGATTTGTCTACTCTAAAAGATCTATGTATTAGAGTACTCAATCAATTTGAATTCAGAGACAATATTCAAGAATATTTGAAGAATAAAATGACTACCATTGCACCAAATCTCACAGCTTTGATTGGTGAAAATGTAGCTGCCAAATTGATAGCTCATGCTGGATCATTGATTAATCTTGCTAAATATCCTGCTTCTACCATCCAAATCTTAGGAGCTGAAAAAGCATTGTTCAGAGCCTTGAAAACTAGAGGAAATACTCCTAAATATGGTTTATTATATCACAGTACTTACATTGGAAGAGCTAATGGAACTGATAAAGGAAAAATCTCTAGGTATTTTATGCCCATTTAATTTTACTAGAAATCTAGCCAACAAGTGTGCTATTGCTTCAAGATTGGATCATTTCTTGATCTAACCAACTGAAAAGTTTGGAGTCAAGTTGAAGGATCAAATGGAACAAAGATTAAAGTTCTTGACTGCTGGAGGAGAATTGAACAAAAATACGGATATTATGGATGAAGTCTTGACTGAATTAAAAGGAGAGGGACTCTATTTTGAAAGTGAAAAACAATTGACCAAGAAGGATAAGAAGTCAAAGAAAGCCAAATCTAAAAAGGTTGTAGAAGAAGTCCAAGAAGAAGAAGTAGAATAACCATAAGAAGCTCCAAAAAAGAAGAGAAAAGCATCAAAATAATAATGATATATAAATAGTATATTAAATAAAAATGTTACACACAATTCCATTTTAGGAACTCTATATATTAAAAATGGATAGAGTTCAGAGCCCACAGCTTAACCTTACACAGTTACGATTTTATTAATTGTATTTATAAAGAAATCTAATAATAAATTATTATTAAAAAAAAATCTAAAATCTTATTATTATATAAAAGGAAAATTTAGATGACTTTCAATTTTTTTTGATCTGTTTCTTTTTTCTTTCAATACTAAGATGCCTTTTCGAGGTGTGGTTTCCTAACCTTTATGGCGTACTGAAATCTTCAGAGCATTCTTTACACTTAAAAACTTTAAGACCATTTTAAAAAGAGCAGCCATTACCTCTCTTTGTTATGTAATGATCTTAATCTGTTTGTTCTAAGAACGAAGAGAAAGGAGAGTTAATGTCATTTGAGGCATTATCAAAGCATTGTTCAATAAAATCATCTAAAATTTGATTGACATTACCTTTAGGTTTTGACGTTAACCTTGATTGCTCATCGTAAGAGTTGACTTCTTCACGCAGCATCTTTAATAGTTCCATTAATTGAAGACTCTTGATGAGCCATAATGGTATTTGCTTATTTTCTGAATGTGGAATTTCTTTCATCTTATAATTAAAATATCCTTATTAGAGTATTAATAATTAAGAGATANTGTATTAGAGTACTCAATCAATTTGAATTCAGAGACAATATTCAAGAATATTTGAAGAATAAAATGACTACCATTGCACCAAATCTCACAGCTTTGATTGGTGAAAATGTAGCTGCCAAATTGATAGCTCATGCTGGATCATTGATTAATCTTGCTAAATATCCTGCTTCTACCATCCAAATCTTAGGAGCTGAAAAAGCATTGTTCAGAGCCTTGAAAACTAGAGGAAATACTCCTAAATATGGTTTATTATATCACAGTACTTACATTGGAAGAGCTAATGGAACTGATAAAGGAAAAATCTCTAGGTATTTTATGCCCATTTAATTTTACTAGAAATCTAGCCAACAAGTGTGCTATTGCTTCAAGATTGGATCATTTCTTGATCTAACCAACTGAAAAGTTTGGAGTCAAGTTGAAGGATCAAATGGAACAAAGATTAAAGTTCTTGACTGCTGGAGGAGAATTGAACAAAAATACGGATATTATGGATGAAGTCTTGACTGAATTAAAAGGAGAGGGACTCTATTTTGAAAGTGAAAAACAATTGACCAAGAAGGATAAGAAGTCAAAGAAAGCCAAATCTAAAAAGGTTGTAGAAGAAGTCCAAGAAGAAGAAGTAGAATAACCATAAGAAGCTCCAAAAAAGAAGAGAAAAGCATCAAAATAATAATGATATATAAATAGTATATTAAATAAAAATGTTACACACAATTCCATTTTAGGAACTCTATATATTAAAAATGGATAGAGTTCAGAGCCCACAGCTTAACCTTACACAGTTACGATTTTATTAATTGTATTTATAAAGAAATCTAATAATAAATTATTATTAAAAAAAAATCTAAAATCTTATTATTATATAAAAGGAAAATTTAGATGACTTTCAATTTTTTTTGATCTGTTTCTTTTTTCTTTCAATACTAAGATGCCTTTTCGAGGTGTGGTTTCCTAACCTTTATGGCGTACTGAAATCTTCAGAGCATTCTTTACACTTAAAAACTTTAAGACCATTTTAAAAAGAGCAGCCATTACCTCTCTTTGTTATGTAATGATCTTAATCTGTTTGTTCTAAGAACGAAGAGAAAGGAGAGTTAATGTCATTTGAGGCATTATCAAAGCATTGTTCAATAAAATCATCTAAAATTTGATTGACATTACCTTTAGGTTTTGACGTTAACCTTGATTGCTCATCGTAAGAGTTGACTTCTTCACGCAGCATCTTTAATAGTTCCATTAATTGAAGACTCTTGATGAGCCATAATGGTATTTGCTTATTTTCTGAATGTGGAATTTCTTTCATCTTATAATTAAAATATCCTTATTAGAGTATTAATAATTAAGAGATATCATAGATTAGTTATAAAATAATGTTAGAATCTATAATAATTTTATAATTAAAACACTTCACCAAATTCATATTAATAATAATAATAAAGATCAGAATTCAGTGTCATGGTCATTATCTATTTGCCAGCCATTTAAATGATGATGAGTTTCTTTAAATATGGTCTCATGTCTAATTTATTTGATTTATTTGCGATCTACATGTACTTTGCCAGGTCTTATCAGCCAGTCACACTTCTCTCTATTTACATCAAACTTCTACCTATTGTTCTTTTTTAATTTTAATTTGAATCATTAATTGTAAAATGTATACTCTTTTTTCTTGAAATTAACTATTCGAGACTTTTATCTGGTTATGGTTATATTGATGCAATACGATTTCGTTTTATAACCTATCGGTTGTTAATAAAAATCTAATTCAGCTATTTCTATGATTTGCTTTAAGGTTTAATGAGCGTTTAGTTGAGTTCCCGTTTCTGTTATCTTTCTTTGATATAGGCATCAAATAGATTCTATGCTGATGAGATTGGCTATTGAATGTGAGTAGAATGTGATTTATTAATTTTGTTCTTATGAATTTCGAATGATAGTATAGTTTAGTGTGTTTTCCTACGCATTTGATGTAAGTAATTTTATTAGAAGTAATATATTAGATCTTCAGGTGTTCTATTTCTTTGATCTGCCATTATTATTTATAAATAATTATATTCTCTCATAATTTCTTTCTTTAACCTTAAGGTTGTTCAGTAATGATAACACTAAAGGGAAGTAAGTATAGGATCACAGAGTCATGAGATATGAAAAGTAATCAATGAAGAAATTAAGACAAAAATGCAATTAAGACGAAGTGCAAATATCTATTAAATTTGATTTCAAAGAGTATGAGGAATTGTTGATACCAAGGTTTGGAGATAAAAAGATTCATTATTTTGAGATAGTGAAAGTAGGATTAAAATTAACAGGGCGGCGAGATCACTAAATAATATTGAATTTGCTAGTATACAAGTAAATAGATTAGAGTTTCTGTGGTATGATGAAATTGTCATATTTAGATGAGAGTGTATATTAAAGAGCATGCAGAGCTTTATTAAAATTGAGTTTTATAATTATTTAACGAATGCAATATAGAGTTTAATTGTAGTAGATTAATTAGAATACTAATGTTATTCCAATCTCGATTATGCAACCCCTGAAGAGTTTGAGTAAGTATTTTAAAAAGGATAAGTGTACTTAAATGTAAAGGTCCTGCACATCCTTATCTCCGAAACAGAACATCACACGAAAGAATTCTAATTAAGTGGAGAATCAGCTCTTGAATATTGTAAATAGTAATGAGAATAGATCGGTTCCAAAAAAAGAGCATAAATGGACCTGTCCGTCAAAAAGTACCAAAGGGTAGAAGTTCCTCAATAGTGATGAATAATTTGAGTTAGGAGGATTGGAAATCCAAATATCTGGAATTGAATCGGCGAATGACTTCCTTAGAATTAGAATTAGAAAGGATTTATGCCATTGAGAAAAATGCTAAGAATATTATTGATTCGTTAAATAATTAAATAAATCAATAGAACTTATAATTAGAAGCATATAGGAATAGAGTAAGAGAAATTGAAATAGATTTAGAATATAAGAATGAGTAAATAAAAAAATTAACAATTGATAACTATTAATTCTAGATGATAATAAATAATTAGAAAAATAATTTAATTGATTTAAGGAGATAAGATTTGAAAAGTCCAAAACAAGTGCTATGAAATAGATTTAATAGACCTTTGAGCAATTGGAGGTATTGCATTCATCAATATGTAGAATTCATAAACAAATTATAAAATTCATACACCTTTGAGTCAAAATTTATCGATATCTACTTCATCGATGGTGGAAATGATAAATGAGATGAAAGAGTCCTCTTGATATTAAATATATTGTTAATTTATGATGACTCAAAACATTCTATTGTTTAATTCTCTTTTAAGATTGTGAGGAAAACATGAAATGCTAGGAGTGGGTCTGACCATTTCCATTAAATGATTGGGTCTATTCTAACTATGATATTTACTTGAAGGGATCTTTTCCTTTGACAAAGTCTATTCTCTAGGTAGGTTTAAGAGGATCTCCCTTATATTGAGGATATTTGCTTAGACAGCCAGTCTCACCACTTTTAGTTGGATTTGAAGGTTTAAAGGGAGCCTCATGTTTCATGATATTAGGTTTAAATTCTTTGACTTGGGTTGGCTACATTCATATACACGTTTACTTTAGGTAAATTGGTCTCTCCAAAGACCTACTTATCAGTGCTGAAATTATCAGTTGTGTAAATGGTGCTTTTGAATGGTTATTTATCTTTGAGCATTTTTTATTCTTTAAAGATTCTTTCCCTTTCAAATTGTCTATAACGATTGTATTCATCCTTTTCGTGTTTTGGGAAATGTCCCAAATTCTTAGATGCCGGATTTGTGGTGATATTTTTGGGTCCAATTATAACTCTGCCATCTTTATCTTTATGATTGTTGGGGCCTTTTGGGATTTCATAATCATTTTAGTGTGGATACACTCCTCCAACTAACTCTTTGTATCCAGAAGGAGGAACAAAATTCTTTTTATCATCCGAGGCATATTTTTTATTTTCTTCCAATTCCTGAATCCTTATTTTTCTTTCAGGGTCTATGTATTTATCGCCAATGGTCGTAAAGCCTAGTTAGCTGAAGTAGGATGACTTAATTTTGCCTGATTGAGGAGCTGTGGCTTTCATGTTTGCAGGAGAGGTGATTGGCTTACCTTATTCATTACGAGCAGCTAAGTATTAACACAAATAGTAAAACGTCTTGGCTTATTGTCGTAACTATTATCACCCATACCCAGGGGAACAGGGGATGAAAAGAGTCCGAATCTCTAGACGGTGGCTAATTTCTCTGTATCTGCTATGGCCTTTTTGCTTATATCTTTTAATGTGGCTTCCCTTTCAGACATAAAAATTATATAATAATTAATTAATCAGTTAAATGGATAGCAAAGAGAACTATTTTAACATCAAATAAATGACAGAATCTTATAGGAATGTTAAGAAATACTCATAACACTCGAACACCATTGTAGATATGTTTATAGAAATCACTTAGAAATTGGACAAATCTTCAAAAGATTATTTATCAAAAGTCATTCCCATTGATGATAACAAATCAACACTCAGTCAAGTAGACACCATCATCATTATGAATTATTTCAAATAAATAGTCATCTATCTAATTAAAACCAAAGTGGAATTAGAAGAAAAAACATAATAAATCGAATCTCAGACCCAATATGAGACTTTGATTCAAAAACTTGAAGCTGATGTTCGTTAACATATTCGAATTGAATAACAGTTGAGAATCTACACAGAAACCTTGTAGTAAAAAATTGATGATTTCGTAATCGAAAGAGAATAATAAATTTAAATGATCTAAGAATATGAACAATAAATTAAATAGAAGAATAAAGATATAGTAATCTATCAAAGTGAACTTCGTAAAGCTGTTAATTAAAACTAACAAAAACACACCAAACTTGTAACTGAACCTATCCATGAAGAATATGATACGACATACCATAAAAAAAAATTAAACCAAACTAATTACACACATCAAAGAAAACCCAGCCAACTCAATGAGGATATATCTGTATCTAATAGTAAGTATCATTAATAATAGAATCTCAAATCAATAGTTATAAAAACTCACCAGAAAGAATCCCAATTCGTAAGATATCAGTGACTAATTATGCCGAAACCAAAGCCATCAAATAGCCTGTCTTTATTCGACAGCCTTGGTATATAAATAAATTGATATTCTTTAGTCCAATGTCATATTCACATTTAAAAACTGAAGCTTAAATCAGTTATCGAAGTAACAGTTAAGAGAGTAAGTATCTATACAAAAATTAAGTAAAATGATATCCAACTTAAATTATACATTCATTATTTTTATAGTAAACTCAATCATTTTTCTTGTATTTAACATTAAAATTGGAATGGAAAGTCAAAACAAGATAACTAAATTAATTAAAATTAATGAGTTCTCAAATTAATGATGCTTTGAGAAATGAAACAATCTACTTTCGCAAATCCCATCTACTCAGAAAAGCTACTAATCAATAGAACAGGCTATTTAGATAACGTTTGATCTAAGACAGCTTAAATGAACCAACACATCCTATTAATTGTTTAATTAAAAATGAAGAAGTGTTTGTTCCCTATGTTCATGAAAGAAATAGTTTGGGTCGTCTAATTAGGAAACCTACTCTATCATCGAATAGAGAAATTCATAATAAATAATTAGTTAAATCATCGCTAAAATTGCCAAAAAATAAACAATTTTGTGCATTTCTCCAGTGTGAACCACCCAATTCCAATAGATCATATGGACAAAAGACTAAAACTTAATCCACATAAGATTCATTTTACTCCTATTTTACATTCAACAAGTCTAATCAAAATTTCTTACTCAAGTCCAAGAACAGTGAACCTTTTAGTTTTAGAAAATCATTTTATTAAAAATAACTATGATATTAAATAAAAATTATCATCCTTAATATGCTGATGACATTATAGTCTATTTCACGTTTTTAGTCGTCATTATTTTCTATGTTTAAGAACTAATTAATATATAATATATTGATTTTACGTATAATCAGGACTTTAATAGATTTAAACTTAAGATCGAGGACTAACTATTCTTTATGAAACTTAAGAATACTGTACATCATTTGAAGATTAAAATCTATCAATGTATTAATTGTTTGATATAGGAATCTAGGATACTTAATTTATTTCAGATTATCTTGTTACAATTTAGACATTCTTTTTAGAACTCTCCTATCCTCCTAATTAACTCACAATATATTAATCATTTTGCTTTTCATAAACAATTTATTTTTTAACTTTACCTTCCAATCTTGCATTTTCTTATTCTAAAATATGCAAACGTGATTCATATTCAGTTATATTTGTAATTAGAATTTGAATTTTATTCTCCTATTCTTATCTTATATTTTTTTATCTCTCAATTTCAATGTTTAGAGTGTTTATTTCATGTTCCAGTTCTGTAATTCTTAATTTAAATTCTTTTACTTATTCATTACTAATATTTGATTATTGAGATCTAATCTAAGTGATTTCAATCTTACTTGAATTAAATTATTATTCTAGTTACTAATACTTAGATCTATATTGATTTAACTCCATTTGTGTTTATTATAGCTAATAAGATAATTATTATAATTCTTAATTGTCTTGTTGTTATAAGCGATCCTCCAAATTCTTTCTTTCTATGGTCAATCTAGAAATGAATTACTTTTCCAACTCATCTCTAATCTGAACTTCTAAATTCCTCATTTCTAATTGTAATTAATTGATCTATTAATTTTTTGTTTGTAATTCATAATCCACTTCCCTTAATCTGCTACTCAGTCTATCTACCTGAAGAGAACTATTCTTATATACTTCACTTTCTCTTTAAACAGTAACAAATCTCTAATTAATTAATTCATATTCATTCTTATATTTCAAACTTTACTCTCTCAAATTTGATATTTCGGAATTCAATTACAAGTTTATTTATCTCAATTATTACAATTAATCTCTTAAATTCTAACTCTCGAATTGACTTTGTTTAGTAAACTACTCTTTAACTTATCTCAATTCGCTATTTGAATCCTAATATTTGATTTGTAATTGATCATATTGACTTTGCAATTATCTGTATTTTTATTATTATTATGATAATTCTAATACTCCTTATGAATTCACTCTCTATTCAACAATTTGCATTTCCACTCTCAATCTTTCCTTAAATGATATCTCAAACTGAGATTCTTGATTTTATAGCTATGTCCTTAATTATGATATTTAAGATTCATATGATTAAATACGTTATTCATATTGATTAATCCTTTGTTTTAGTACTTCAATCTCTTTGTTGTTTTAAATTGAATACTTCACTTCACTCTCTCTCTATATAAGTAAGTAATTTTAATTTAAGGATTCATACTCATTTCTATATTTTCTTATTTATTCATTTAACTATTAGATCTCATTCTAATATTGATTGCATCTCTCTTGTATAACTTAAAATTCACTTTAGATGCTAGTGTAATGATGATTATTTTTCTCAATTTGTGACTTTTATGATTTTAAATATAAATTTTCTTAATATAATTCTTCTTGATCGCTTTGATATTTCTTGATGAGATCCTTATAAGATTATATTTCAGATTAAATTATCCTATATTAATTTTATAAAGTGAAATAATCTTCCTTAATACTTGTCGATTCATATTAACTTTATGATGATGATTAATACTGTTAAAACTAAGTTTAAAGAATTTAATATTATTAATTTTAATTTTTTAATTAGTATTCTAATTCCACAATCCTTTATCTCAAAGAATCAATTTCTAAAGAACTGCCTTTTTATTATTCACTTTGTCTCTAAAATATCATAAATTCATTTGATAATCTTTCATAATCTTATTGGTATTTTTATTTTTCTTCTCTCAATTAATTCAATTACAATTGATATTCAGTTTCCTACTGATTTCTTAATATATTAATCTCCTCTTAATATTCATTCTATGTGGAACTGATTCTTTAATCTCTTTCATTTAAATCTTGAATCAATATCAGAATATCTTATTCCATTTCAACAATTTTGTTTTTTAAGACCTCAACCTCTTAAATTTCTGATTTTTTGCTTTCAAAACTAATTTTATATCCATTGATCTCTTTTTTAGATTTTTCTGCCTCCAATTTTAATTAGTCTATTTAGAATTCTAATTGCTTAAGTCTTTCTTACAATTGTGTAATCTAAATATCTTTTTCCCTAATCTTTTGTTCAAATGTTAATACTTGTTCTTGAGTTGATACAGCTTTATAACGATCTTGCCAAACCAAGACTTCATGTTGCAAAGCAGATATCCGTTATAAATATCCTTAGATTTCTAAATTTTAGTTTTTATTGGTAGATCTGATAGAGGATTGTTAAACTTCTTAAATGTAGGATTCACAATTAAAATTCAATCTTTTTATTTCTTGTTATTGTTCTTGTATTTTCTCCTCTAATAATTTGATTCTTCTTTTATAATCATCTCTTTCATTTCTAAATTAGTCTAAATCCGAACCAAATGTTATTTTAGAGCTGCCTTATTGAATTTGTATTTTTGATTATTGAATTGAAATTTATTATTATTGTTAATTTTACAATAAGGTTTTGGCTTTAAGGAGATCTTCCTTTTCTGCTGTTAATTATTTGATTTGATCTTTCAATAAAGTAATTTCTTAATTTGGAGCAGATGTAACATATGTTGTTTTCTTTAATTATTCTTCCATTTATTTAATCTGCATTTTTAATGAATTGACTTCATAATCATTTGGAACAACATTTACATTTATATTTCGTTCTAATTTAAACTTATATTCACTATTCTCTTATCTAAGCTTATTGATCTCATCTTTGTATTAATTAATTTCTAAATCGTTGCCTTAATAAAGTGTTGTAATTCTACTAGTTCCTTTTTCAGCTTGTAATTATTTATACTTATTTTTCCATTAATCTAATTCTTTCATTAAATCAGATATTTAGTTGTTCTATGAATTCACACTTTCTCTTAGATTTGCAATTTCTATTTATAATTATTTCGATACCCCTGTCTTTGGTTTCAATAATCTTTTAAAAAGATGTTTAATCCGACAATTATATATACTCCTAAGTGATGGGATTGGATTTTAATTTATAATCTTCAGACCTTAATAATTTAATCATCAATTTACAAAATCGTCGATTATTAATAATTAACATTTCTCTAATTTGAGTATGTATCCAATCCTGAGTTTGTTGTTTCTATTTGGTAATGAATAAACCCACTCATCTTAATCTAAGAATTGCTAAATTAATAAATTATATTAATAATAAATGATTTTCAATTCATTCTAATTTTGATATCTTGCTAAGATTTATTTCTGATTTTAACAAATCATTCATCTTACTATTATGCATTAATGAATCAGATTGATATTGTTTATTTATCAATTACGTAGTACTTTTACTTTTAACAGATGGAAAATGAGTTTTCATCATTGGAGAACTTTGACCTTTGGGTTTAATCTGATTAATTAACTTATACTTACTCTGGTCATATGATCCCTTAATTTTTCATATCTATGAATTTACTCTTATTATTTTTCAATTAGTATTTATTTTGTAAGTTCTAATCTTTTTTGTAGTTCATAGTTTTCTTCATCTATTTTTTATTATTATTTTCTTCTCAAAGGGGAATGCAACCTCTTTCCCAATGCATTCTCACTCCACAATGAAGTGTCTGCCTTAAAGCTAAACCATTCAACTTACATACGCTTTCTCTCTTAAATTTTATACTGTCCATATAGATCTGAATTGAGATGTTTTGCCTTCTTGAATATCTATGATATGCGAAGTTAAAAATTGATTTTATTCATCAATCCGCTTTCTTTATTCAGATTTCTGAAATCTAGATGATTGTGCTTTTAATTGTTATGTTTTACTTAGTACTGGCAAATCTTTGAAAGCAAATCTTGGCTTTTTGCTAAATCTTAACAATAACTTCATTACTCCGTTTAAATTTCATCTAATTTCTTCTTGTGAAATTCATAACTTTGATTACGGAGCATCTTCTGAACCAAATTAGTTTCTACAAACCTTGCACCTTGCATAAGTTATATATATTATTTAATAATTTATAATTATATAATTCATTCCTTTTATCTGAGATCTCCAATAAAATCATATTCTCTAGAACTTAAGCCAATAATATTGAACAATATAATATATACTATTATTTTGTAATCACAAATCATCTAAGAATCTCCCCTCATTCCACTAACCAATAATCCTCTAATCCTTATCACTATATTTCCCTTTCCCATGAGGTAACCCATTTCGAAACTCTCCATGAAAAACAGCACCGTTGACAAATTCCATATTCCCTTATCCTTCCCTTTTATCATTTTAAAAGGTTCCCTAATAGGTCATCCATATTTATTCAATATTACTGAAGTTTCTATAATTCACTACGCCTAAGTTATCAGGATCATCATTATATTCTCTTCCTTGACCATGGTATTCATCTTCCTTCCATTCTCCATCATAAATTAAAAAGTCATTGTTATAAAATTTTCCCATCCCTTCCATCTTATTATTATGCCATTAACCCTCATAAAAAGCTCCTGTTGGATGAATATATTTTCCTTAATTCATTTATCATATATATATACCTTAACCTTCTCTTTGATTGTTGAGTTTATATCCCTCATAAATACAGCCATTTGGGTATGTTTCCCTTATAAACTTATACTCTTGATTGTCCAATTCCTATTATATTGGGAACACTTAAATTTGTTTTTCCACAGGACTTTATTGTTAATATAAAATTAATGGTTATTAGCGATACATGTCTAATTTATCAATAAATGAATCTTGAGGCGAATAAAGTTCTAATTATTCTCTAACATTTGGTTTTGGTTTATAGCCGAATTGGTAGTTTTTTTCTCTAAGAATTTTAGTAAAGACTGACTCTTGCTTTTATCCAATCTAATAATTTTTTTATTTTAATAATTCTTCAAAGGCATTTTTTTATGGTTTTATTTACTATTATTATGGTCTAATATATTCTTAAAATGGTTATTAATTGATCTCATTAGATTAAGGTAATAATTTGATAGTCTAAGGTAATTATATTTGGAAATCTTGTTATAAAATTAATGAATTATAAGCCAATCCAAATTCTTTTGGCATTTCCAAAATTAGCATTTGAACATCAGGTAATCTAATGAATTATTAATAAGCTAATGATGTTGAAATTCTCTAATCTGGATCTACTTCTAAGCATTAATTCAATAGCATCATAAAATCTATACTTAAGAATTAGCTGGCTTGGGTTTTCCTTTCATTTAATAATTCAAAATTAATAGAGTAATTGACATAGCAATCATCCATGCTTTTCATGATTGAATATTAAATCATTTATATAGCAAGAGTAAACAAACAAGAGTTTAATCTAGTCTGGTCATTTCCAGTATTTATCTCCTAAAATAAGAAATTATTAGAATATACACTTGCAATTGTTCAGGGGAAAGGTAATATTTAATATTATTTGATCTTCTTATTATTTTTGCATATATCTTCTTACTCTAAGCACTAAATAAAATAAATAAATGACATTACATATCCTCGAGAACTTGCTGCATGGGAGATCTTCTTGGGTAGAATGAAGGATCTAGAAGCTTTATAGTTCCAGTTTGAGTTAGATATACTTCATTTAAATCAATGAATGATGGATTAATGCCCTGAGTTTGCAAGTAATTGATTCCAGATAATATAGCTAGAAAATATGCAAGCAATTCCTTTTAAGAGAAATAATTGTCCATCTTCATACGATACTAAAACTCTTGTTGGAATGAATCCAATATGTAATCATAAAATAAATAGGTTCTGTATTATTTGCTAAAAAATCCATCTACTTATCTTTGTAACAGTACTAAATCAAATTTGATATAGCTTTACATTATAATTATAATATATGAGGAAATCGTTATTTCAACCTTGGAATCCACTCAGCAGCCAACTATTTTGCCATCGATTTATTTGAATGATCAATGATTTTCTCAGCAAACATGATAGGATTATGTAACTCTGATGATCTACATATTAATAAAGGATGAATACGGATGTAAGATGTTCTCTTTGAGTACATGAACATTCCCATAGCAAAACATTTGTTGTTCTCCAAGATAATCAAAATTCTAAAGAATTTCAAAGAGTTCTTATGGAATCTGATCTTGGATAAGGAAAGGGTTTGTGCAGCGAAACTAACAATTGCACATTTCACCACAACATTATTAATAGCAATTCTAACATAGAGAACATTTGATGTTCAATTTAATACATAGGGTCTTCATTAAATCACATATCGTTCGGCAACAGGGAACCAAACATTGCTTCATCGAAATCATACATGCTTAACATCCTAATTCATTAGATGATCATTACCTAAATTACAATGGTAACAGCATCTTTTACATCCTGTGAAACAAAGCTGAAAGGGAAGAGTTTTATTTTGATTCATTTCAAATAAATAATATTGTTAAATAATGCTCATTATTTTTATTTTTTGACTTCATTCTTACAAGCAGATATCAAGACTTCTTCTTACAATTCTTCTTGTGGAATATGCACGTATTTCACTGTGGATCCTCTGATGAAACTATTTTTTAGAGTTATTAATTAAGGTTGTTTAACAGGATCAGATACTTCTGGATCAACTAAGTTGAAATTTAGGTTATCATCTACATATGTAATTTATCCTTGAATTTATAATCCATTTTTCAACTCAATGGTTACACTAACACACCTTTCAATTAATCCTCTAAAATAGGTTTGAAAAAATTAACTCTACATTTAATATATATTATTTAATAATTTATTCGGAATTCGATATAATGTTTAGTTGTTAACTTATTTTTATCATTTTTAGATACAAAGATTGTATAAATTGCAGTTTAATAACAATATACATTTAATCAAATTCATATACAAATCAAACAAATTCTTGTAGGTGATTGAGAGCACTTCAAGATTGAGGTTGATCTATTTCTTTCATCCTTTAATATTGGATTGACCCAACCTACATTAGGTTACCCCTTCAATTTTAAAATTGTTTTTTATATGTTAGTAACATTTTGATTAGGTTTGTATGTACAAACGATCAAATTTTCATTAAATGAAATTTTGGATTGTTCTAATCCCAAGTCGTCAGGCTCATCTTCAACTATAGCCATTTTGTGATGAACACTTAATGGTGTCATAGGGTTCAACTTGAAATTTGGAGATTAAGCAATCATTAATAATAACTTTTAATTTATAGATTTGAAATATAAAACGATATAAATTGAAAATCAGGTTAATGCGTAGCAAATGATACATCATCATTTTAATACTCCTTATTTTTTTTATGGAAAATATATCTTTGATAACTAATTTGTTCCAATTTCTTAATCAACAAACAGCAAATTAATCAACTTTAAGCCTATCATCAATTCGTTGACCTCAAATTGGGCCTGAAAAACCCATTACTTCTAAAAATAGTGTACAATTTTATTTAATTCTTATATTCTTAATTTACCCTCACTCTTTCTGTTTAATTTAAAGGCAATTTATTCCTATCCTTTGTCCAAATTTCTATAGAGATGGAAGAAAGATAGAAACAAAATACTTTAGCCAATTATTTTTTAGAGACTACATTAAATTACTTTTTTATAAGCAATTACATAAGTCAAGTCTGGTTAAAAACTTTGATTTCTGAAAATGATAGAAATATTGCTTAGTTCAAATATATACATGATCCTATTGCTTACAATCTATATATACAATGATGGAGAATAGACATTAAATATTTAAAAAATTTAATCAAAACTTTATATTAAATTATAAAAAGTAGATATAAACATGAATAATGGTCTATAGGATGATGATCAGGAATTTCTATTGTTGCAATTACAACAAAAAGGTAGATAATTAGAATAAGAAAACTTTTAACTAAGAAAGGAATTAGCTAATCTAAGAGGTGAATTGAAATTTGATTGTATATTGTTATTCTATCATTTAGTTCGTAGAATAGAAGTGATAAAAAAGGTTCCGGATAATAATTAAGATAAAATGTAAATTAAATATGTTTTAACCCACTCTAATCAGATAGCGAAAAGAGAGGCTTAGGTTATATTTCAAGAATAACCAAAATAATTCATTCTTTGCGGGTCAGGTTATAATTTAGATTCATAAGATGTAAATGAATTCTAAATCTTTTCTTATCACGTATAGCTGAATGATGAATTATAAGAAAACCCAAATATAATTGCTACCGATTCAAAAATAGAAATTATCTTTGAAAAGCAAAACAAAAAGAATAAATAATTTATTTAATAAAACAAATGATCTTATTCCTCTATTCTATATAGTTAGTTTGAATAATGAAATGTTCAAATTACAATTATCCAATGTGATATCATATTAAAAAATCAGAAAATTATATTTATACATATTTATTAATAAAATTATAACGGAATGATTTCCCCAAGAATTTAAGGTTCTAGTTTTACGCCAATCAACACTTCGAATGTCTTTACTTCAACTATCAATGAAGATGCTTAAAACACTAGTTTCTCATCCTATCATGTAACTCCAAGGTAGGGAGCTACTCCTAGATAATTATCAAGAATTCAAGAAAATAATGAATGCGAGGATTCTAAAATAACAGACACTGATCCTTAGACTTATAGAGAAGTTATTAAAGAATTGTCAACCTAACTTTAAATGGCTATCTTAGAAAATAGATAATTAAAAGATAAAATTAATGTCCTAGAAGAAGAACATAATGAAAGTTTTTAGATAGTGAATACACAAAATCAAGCACTTTAAGACAGTAACTTCACATTATAGGAAAAAATCAACAATTTATTTTCAGAAATTTAACAAATGCAACTTTAATTAGAATAAAAAGATTAAAAACTGAAAGAGGCTAGAGAAAATAATTTATTTTCGAATTAATCATCAGATAAAATGACTCATTTGATAGATGAAAATTAGAAGTTAATAAAAATCATAGAGACTTAACAATAAGAAATCAATATCTAAAAAGATGTTATTAAATAGTTTGAAAAAGCATTTTAAGATGCAAAAGGAAAGGTCGAACAAGATGTTACCGAAAAGTTAAATCAAAAATGTAAGGAAGCTGATTAATTCAAACATGAAATTGAAGGATTAACTTAATAATAACAATAATACAAAGAATAAATTATTCTCTGGAGTTAGAGATATTAATCTCTGGATCAAAATTACTAAATATAATACTAAGATTTATTTTAGAAGTTTAATATTAGTTAAAATCAACTTGCTGAACTATAAAATATTTATCAAGCCCATACGGATAATTCTTAAAGAAGAATATCATAATTAGTTTAAGAATTAGACAATGCAAAAGTTGGAACTTTAAAAAAATAACAAACTTTAAAAATAAAAGCCCTAGAAGACAGAATTGAAGAATTAGAGGAATAATTATAAATTAAAAAGAATTAAATCTTAAAACTTAAGGAAGAATTGATGGAATATTAGAATATTTAAAAATTGACAAAATAATAAAGAGAAACTGATATCATTACAGATAAAAGAGGTATGAATACTATTAATTTTTAAGTTGTTGAAGATTAGATATAAGAAAAGTACGAATAGAGAATACGTTAATTAGAAGATAAGCTTGTTTAATAGGAACAATAAATTATGATAACATAATAATAGCAATAATAATAATAATTACAATAATAATAACCTTTATTGTAATAATAATATTAGAGTTTGCCATAACAATAATCAATAGTTTTAGGATAATAATAATAATAAATATATGAACATAACTATTACGCTAGAACAAATGAAAATAAAAAGTTATAATTATTTTCTGAAAGAAAAGACAACTTAAGAATGTATTATAGTTTTGCAAAAGAAAATTAATAGATTGAAAATAAATATCCTAGAGCTGCTTTAAATTACGGAAATAATTACTGATATTTAAAAACAATCATATTATTAGTTTATTATTACAATTTCCTCAATTTTTTGATTACTTTAGACACAGGCATTTACAATAAATTTTTGATATACTTCTTTTTATTTGAAACCCGTTTTAATTAACAGCACATCATCTAAAATTAAAGGCTTATTAAATTTGTGATCTTCTTCTTAAAAATTTCTTTAAAACCTCAAATTCCTAATTGAAATATTCTTTTCATGTGATCATTATAATTGATATGATTTTACATAGAGAGTTAATTTTAATTATATTTTGTTCATATATAATATTTTTAAATAAATTTTCATAGCCCAACAAAGCAAATTATGGTAAAAATTTATAACACTGTTTTAATTATAATTCTTTTTATATTTGAAATGGAATAGTTAATTTAAAACAATCTAAGACAGGATATTTAATCCCTTAGTAATTCAAATTATAGTAATTCTCAAGACTAAATTAAATAGATAATTAGATTTCAACTAAAATATTAGCATTATTAGAATATGGATTATATAAATAAGTAATTGAAAAGAGTGAGAAGAAATAAATAATAAGTTCAGGAAAATTTTTACCTACTTATAGACTTGTATTTTTATTTCAATATTATAAAGAGTATATTTATTTAATTCTTTTAAAAACATAAATTTGTATAAGAAATTATCAAGCTGTCAAATATTTTTGACAAATAATTCGATATACATTAAGATCAATAAATGACCATTTTTAAATAATACTATTTAGTGACCTTGGTTGAATTGGTAGATATTCAAGAAGTTATGAAAGAAACAAATAATATTTTTAATTAATAAACAAGAAAGGTAGAATCAAATCATTAATTATTGTATAGACTATCTAAGATGAATTATATTTGGTTGAAAAATCGAAAAGAGGGAAAACTCATTAAGTAAATTAAATAAACAATCGAGCTCAAGGGCATCATCATCAGTAGCTAACAATAGAGATTCCTAAGCACAAATGAAATCATTTTTCAAAAATTATTGGACGAAAGGAATTTGTATTAATTTTAGTGTTATTTCTAATTTTTTGTTATTCATTAAAGAAGAGAAGTGATATGAAATCGATAATTGAAAAACTGAAAATTAGATTAAGAAAATTTTTAATTATATGAATTATTATTATTATTATTCTATTTAACATAAAAATAACTCAATCATTCAGTTAAAAGCTTTGCAATTATTTTTTCCAATCTATTACATTAGTTTTTTGGTTATTGTATTTACTAATTATTATTGAAGATGCCTCTTAGATTTATTAAAAACTCTGAAATATGGAAATTGGAATGGAAATTTATTATATGGCGGTATGAAAGATTACATTAGTGGGTCCTACAGATTTTAGGGTACAGGTAGAACAGCTAATTAAAATTATTGGGGAGAAATTTGTATATTGAATTTTAATTCATTTCTTCTATCTCGTTAAAGTAATTATTGATAAAAGTAGTTTAACCAAAGTTTCCGTTGTTCATCCTACTGATAACCTTATTTGTATGCTTTGCTATAAGAAGTTCTAGAGGGGGTAATATCAAATCTAAAAATTCGTTAGGTAAGCATTTAGGAAATCCACAAACCTTTTTAAAGCTAGATTTATATAATTTTTATAAGCGTTGAAATATGTTTTTGTATTTCTAGGTTGGGATTGAAGGACAAATATAGAGTATGTGTGGAAGGAGAAAAGTTTAGAATAATTAATATTTCTGCTTCCAATTAAGTTTTTAAGAAACCCATAGCAACTTTCCACTTAAAAATTTTAGAGTTTATTCTACTTTATCAAGCTATAGACTTATTTTTCCATTGTTCAATATATTTATTCCGAGGTATTTATAAGATTTCACAATAGGAAATCCTTATATATTGTTATATTAACAGCGCTTATGATTTTGGATGAAAAAGATTCCACATTTTTTCTAGTTTAATCTAAGTTCATATTCTTCAGAAATTAAAACCAACTTTTATAAAAAGGATTGGATATTTCTATGAGCAATAATAATTACAATGTCGTCCGCAAATTCATAGGAAGTATAATTAAAATTACAGTTTTGTTTTAATGAAGCTAAAAAATCTTCAAGATATATATTAAAAAGTGCGGGAGACAGTGGAGATCCTTGAGGAACACCGTTTTAGAAGTAAAATGTGGTATTCATTTATGGGCAAATATAATGGAGATTTGTATAGAGGTGATTAAGGAATTTTATTTCGATGCCATCCAAAATTGATTTAGCAGATAAAATATTAAATAGTCTTTATCTATTTATGCTATTGAAGGCATTGCTAAAATCAATAAAGATGCAATCCATTTTATCCTATTTCTTGTAACCAGTTAAAGTATTTAAGAGTCTGATGATATTTATTTGAGTAGATGAACCAGGAATGAATCCTGCTTGACCTTTAGATAAGCGAGTGGACAAATATTGTTATAGTCTTGGCAGAAATCTTAATTCAAGCAGCTTAAATAGGGGACTTAGAATTGTAATAGGTCGAAACTAAGTTTTAGTAGGGATATCGGGGAAAACCTTGTTTAAGGGTACTAGTCTTGCTCTACAGCATGCGTAGTTGGTTTCAATTGTAGATTATTTCCATATATCACAAAAAATATGGACATTTTTACAATTCCTAATAAAATTGTCAGATACGCCATCAAAGCTAATTGCTTTATTTCGTGACATCCTTCTTTGTAGCTCGGTTATATCAAGCGTATTTAAGGGGGGTAAAGAAGGAAGTTTTAAAGGGCGAAATTTTTGACCATTTGATATGATACTAAGTTAGGTAAGACAATTTCTAATAGCAATATCTCCAAATTGTAGTTAATTAGAGTCATCAATGAAATATGAAAAAATGCTACCATCTTTTTTAAAAGGGTTTAATATAGTTATTTTTTTTAGAGTTTGGAAGAATGTTACTTTATCTCTAGAGAATAAGTCAGCCATATGTTAGAATACATCTTAATTATTATGGGTGGAATTAATATTTAATTTTGGTATAACTTGCTTTTTAATTTTCTGGATAACTTTGGAGTTCCTGAGGTTGTTTTGTATAAATTTATAGAAACATGTAAAATCAGAAAATTTGCTAGAAGCCAAGTTATTTAAGTTTTGAGCTCGCTTTTTATTGAATTTATAAAAATAGAATTATTAGTTGACTTTTTGTTGAAGGTTAAGCTCAATATCTATTAGGGAGTGGTCTGATAATTAATTAAAGGAGACATTATTCTTAGATTAGACATAGGGATGTAATAAAACATGATCAGTTCTACTTTCTATCATTTTGTTCAATTTTTTTCTCTAAAATGTAATTAAGTGCTGTGGAAGAGCTGGTGTTAGAAAATTAAAAGGGGTTTAGCTTATATTAAAGTCACCGCAAATAATAATTTACTGGTTAGGCTTAATATTTAGAATGAATTATCTCAACCAATTATCTAGCTAAGTCTTTGATTTCTAGAATGTAGACTTTTTGTTAAAGTAGAAATTAAACAGAAAAATATCAAAGTATTCGTTTCTAGCATTAATTATAAGATAGTCAAATTCCACTTATATTTGAATTTAAAGGATATCACTAATATCTTTAGAAGCAAAACTATTGTGAATACCCGTGATTATACCACCAGATCTCTCACTGGTTGAATGATGGTTTATATAAATCTAATAACTAGGTGATGATGAAATCTTAGAATTGCGGCTTTCTTATAGACAGAAAAAATGAGGGCCACATAATTTAACTTATTTTAGCGTGCTTTCTTTCATAGAGGAAATATTCCAAGTGACTAATTTGATTGGGTTTTTATTTTTATTGTTAAAATTGAGACACTAAATATGATTATTGCCAGGATCTTAAGACAGCGTCTAATTCTTAGTCCTGGTGGAGCCGTGTAGGGGCTACACTCATTAAATCATTTAGCCATCTAATGTGTGGGAACTTTCTTTAGGCACTTTATTCTTATGAAACTTTTTCATGTGTTATGCGTAATCTTAAGTGTTATTGAAGATATTCTTGCATTAATGGAGTTTTCCACCGCAAACAAATATCTAATCATCTTCCTCCTCCTCTTCTTCAGGTAACTAATTAAATGGTTATTATTAAGATTATGTCATCTTACAAGGAGTTTTAAATTGAACCTATTTGATAGGATCCTGAATTTAAGGAACAGTAAGTTTTAAAGCAGAAATTTGTTTTTTAATGGAAGATTACAAATCTTTTATAATTTTTTGTTCAATTGATTATATGATGCGATCTTATTAAATGGGTTAATTAGAAAATATTGTTGGGGATTGAGCATTATTTACGGTTAGTAGGTGATTTGAATTTCGAAGTGAAGGTGTTGAAGGTTTATTTTTTTGATTTTTTTTTTTTTTAACATTAAATATTTGTGAGTTCTTTTGATAGATGAATAGAGGCTACGCATTCTTTTATATTGAACCATTTTAGGATAAAAGTATCCAGCATTTACAATTTCTATGCATAAGTTATCGTTGTTATCTTAAGCTTTCTAAATAATAGTGGATTTGCAATTCTGCAATCCAGATGATTCCTCCAAGATGTCTATTATATTGCTTTTCTATTTAGGTTGCAATGTGAGTTTTTAATTCTGTTTTTGAGAAAGGTCATTATTGATTTACTCAATTTAAACGTTGAATTTCTATTCTAGCGCAGATAATTATGGTAATAGTTAATTCATACTATTGTTTAAAAAATTCAACATGGCAAAAACCCAGTGTGTTAAGTTTACTAGGATATTTTGTAAAGCTGGATCTTAAAAACTTTTTGCTTATTAATGGATCTCGATCAGTGCACTAAGTGCTTATGAGGGGGAGAATTATTCCATACCACAAAATTTTTTTAAAAATTATATGAATTGATTGTTATATAGTAGTTTAATAACAATGTGAAATTGATTTGCAATATTCATAAATCATCGAATTTTATATTTTTGTTGAAAATTAAAATAAATTATGCTTAAATTAATATGTACCCTTAAATACGCACCAAATTTATAGATCAATTAAAAATATATTCCAATATTCAAGTAAAAAGAGTTAAATTAGAAAGTGTAAAAATAGAGGATTTACTTAAAAATCACGAATTGAGTTTAAATCACTAACCAAAATTTAATACTTGTTTTATCATTACTTTATTCTTGAAAATAATTAACCAATTTGTTATATTTCATCTCTTATTTAACCATTATTCCAATTATAATATCTATATAATGTAATAATTAAAATCGCTTTCTCTAAGTAATATGTAGAGGCATTTATTAATAGAGTTTTAATATATTTGATGAATTAATTATTTAATTACAATTATGATAAATTATTCAATTGAAATCTTGTTGTTAATATTTAATTTTATAATAAATGAATTCTGATTAATAAACCTGAGTTTAGTTTATTAAAAGTTTGCGAATACCATTTATTTATGATAAGCATAGATGACTGAAATATAAATCTAAAACATATTATATTAGTCATAAAAGAAGACAAGCAATCATTACTTATAGTCATTTCATTTATCTATAATACGCGAAGAACATATACTTAGAGGAGATATACCTAGCATTAATTCTTATTAATTTCAAAAACTATTATTTTATAGATTTATAACGACTAGTTGAGCATTTTTAGTTATTTAAAAAAAATCACAATCTGTTATAAATAATTACTTTTTTGATTAATATCAATATTGTAAGAAATATAAATAAATTGGTGATTTTGAAAGTAAAAAGTTTGATATGAATAATGGATTATTTGAATAAATTTCTATTTTTATTTGAAATTGATTAAATTAATCATCAAAATAAATTTATAGAATTAGTTTTTGTATTCAGAAAAAGAATCCTAATTATTATAGAACATAAATGTAAAATCCTTGGTTTTTTTATCATATATATTCATGTTAGTATTTGGACTTGTTGCATTATTAAAAATTCTAAATGATTGAGAGAGGGTAAACAGTTTTCACCAATTTCTACTAAATACAAATAAACCCAAAAAGCCACATCTATAGATATTAAGTAATAAATGTTTGAATCATCATTAATAGATTACTTTTTAACCAACCATGAGCCCAGAATAACAGATTTGTAAATGGAGAGATATTTTTAAGGCAGCTAAGACAGGATTATAGGAAAACCTCAAGGTGTTTATCACAAATAATTAAATATTGTACTCCCCAGTGAGAGCTTAAACAATGGGATTGATTTTAGGAATATATGAAGAAGAAGGAACCAGTTATACTATATCTATAGAAGAAAAAGCAGTTCTTAAACCTGGAGAACCTGAATACACTGGATTGATTGGAAGGTTCTTTAAAATGCTGCTAAAGTAGTAAAAGTTACTGCAAATAGGCCGAAAGTACTTTAATACTAAGAATATAATAAATTTTGATTAATTTGGTCTCAAAGTATTTTTATTCTAATTTAATTCAGGTTTTACCTGGAGTCACATGTAGCTTAATAAAATAAGAGGAGCAAGGTAAGTATTACATAAATATTGATTCCTCCTTTAAAATGTTAAGGTGTACAACTATGTATGAAGAATTGCGCAACTCAAGGGATTATTCTTTAATAGAAGGAGCCATTATTATGACAGTCTATAATTATAAGTTTTACAGAGTGAATAAGATAAACAGAGAAATGAATCCTAAAAGCGAGTTTGAAAATTAGAATGGATCAAAAATGAGTTACTTGTAATATTATTCTGAGAAGTACTTTAAGTTTTAATATGTAGGTATAAAATCAATATCAAAGACTCAACTTAACCTTTAATAGAAGTTTTAGAAAAATCAAGAAAAAAATAGGAAGAGAAAATTATTTATTTAATTCCTGAATTATGTGTGCTAACAGGATTATCAAATGAAATGAGAAACAACTTTTAAACCATGAAATAATTATCTACAGTAACTAAACCAAGAGGTGTTGATAGAGTCAAATAAGCAGATCAATTTATTCAATGTTTTCATAATAAAGAAAGTGAAGAACTCATTAAGAAGTGGAATATTTAACTTGAATCTAAATGTCTACAAATACAGAGTTCTAAAGTAAAACCTGGAAATATTATAATGGGAAATAACACCTAAATAAATATAGAAACAGGCAATTTGGACAGAGATACATAAACTGCCATGTTAAGAGGAGTAGGTTTAGAGAATTGGGCTATTCTGTATAGTGATAGAGATTCGAGGTAAGCTGAGGATTTCATGTCATGTTTGAGAGAAAGTATTGAATATTGTAAATTTCAATGCAAAGCTCCAAGAACATTCACTATTAATTCAAATAGAATTGAAGATTGGATTAAATAAGTTGACTTTATTGTATAATAATCCCAAGGACCTTAAAAAGTAACCCTCTTATTATTAATCTTAAATGGTCCAAAAAAGAATGCTCCTTTATACACAGATCTAAAAAGATATTTAATTAATGATTGTCCTATAGCATCGTAGGTAATATTAAGTTCTACATTAAATTAACCAAAAGGAAAAGTGAAAACAATTTGTAATAAATTGTTAGTTTAAATTTGTGCTAAAGTAGGAGGAACTCCTTGGGGAATTTCAGATTTACCATTTACTGATCAACCAACAATGGTTTGTGGAATGGATGTATATCATTCAACAGCTAAAGGAAGGAAATCAATGTTATCTTTTGTTTCTACCGAAGATGAATTCTTTAGCAAATACATGACATAATCCATCGAAATGGATAGCGGAGTTGAGTTTTCATTTAGCTTATGTCCTGTTTTGGTAAAGTCTTTGGAATCTTTCACAAGTGATAATAGGACACCTCTTCCTTCAAGAATAATAATCTTTAGAGATGGTGTTTCAAATTCATAAGCAAAAACTGTGATTGAAACAGAAGTTGCTTAATTTAGACAGGCGATTGAATAAGTAAAGAAGGCAAAAAATCATACTAAACCAATTAAATTGGTTGTCCTTTCTGTTAATAAGAAAGTAGGAGCAAAATTCTACGCTGGAGAAAGGTATAGTATTATAATAATTATTAGAAACTTAGACAATCCATCATAAGGAACATTGATTGATAGTGAAATTTGTAATGGGAAGGATGGCTTTTATTTGATTGCCTAAAAAACCACTTAAGGGACTGTTTAGCCTACCTATTATCATGTTTTAGTGAATGATTTAATAGATGAACCAAATATTACAAGTAAGTTGCAAGCTCTAGCTTATAAACTTTGTTACATGTATTACAATTTTAGCGGGGCAATAAAAGTAACATTTATTTTATTCTAGATTCCTGCCCCAATACAATATGCTCATGTTTGTTCTAACTTTATCGGAGATAGGTTTGATCCTCGTAAACCATAGACTCTTATTAAGCCAAGCCAAATATTAAATCAAAGAAGATCCCTCTTCTTTATTTGAAAAATATTAATAAATCAATTAAAATACATAGCATCAGTTCTAAAATATAATTAATGAAAAATTTAATTAAAAGTAATCATCAAAAAAATGAAATAGCACAAAGTGAAAAGTTTTTACGTGATCTTGACTTGTATTAAAAAATATTTCTATAAACAAAATATGAAAATAAAAAATAACAATCAATATCAATCCGTAGACTATTACCAAACAAATAATTTTCGTAGCATCAATAATAATCATAATAATTATTTAGTAATCCTAGTCTTTAGTGTTTTAATACTTAATTAGATCAAGAAACTAATTATTCTCGTCATCAGAATTAAGTATGTATTCAAAGAGAAGTTAGGAAAGAAGAAGAAAAAAGATTGCTGTCTCGATGATTGATTGCTCCAGAATTTTCAAAATTTCTAATAAAACTTAATATCCACCCTAAACCAAACCATTACAATCCTTAATGCAGAAGATTGTGATAGTAAACCATCAAGGTCGCCCATAAACTTATTATATGAAATGATTTATATATAATTTTATTGTATTCACAATATTCTTTCAAATTCATGTTCTAAAATTAATGATTTTACGGTATGAGGTGATATTGAGATTAAAGTATGTATCTTTTTAGCCTATTATAATATATCAGCAAACCAAGCATTCGAAGTCTGAATATTCCATGGTGTTGCTCCAATTTTCAGTAACAATTTAAATGATTCTTCACTTTAAGCTTCAACAGCGTACCATAACGGATTTCTGTTCATGAAATCTTTTGCTTCATAATCAGCTCCACTCTGTAATAAATATTACAATAAAGTAGAGTTTCCTTTTGAAGCAGCAATATGTAAACACGTCTATCCTAAATGATTAAATTCAAACAATAGGTTTCTATTAAATTTTATTAAATTTTTTATTTCTACCAGATTATTATATTTTATATATCTGAGAAATATAAAAGATCCATCTATCTGAAATGGTTATGATGGAAACTGAAAGTTGCTCATTTCTTATAATGAGATTTTGCATCTATTCATTTTTTAGAGCCATGATAATAATTTTTGACATAAATACTACCTCCTTTATTTTTTCTTCTCTTGTATTTGTTCATCGTCCAACTTCATAAAAATTTTTTTTTACTTGATTCTTTTTTTATTTGAACTAATTATTGATATTTAAGTTACTTAATATTCTTCCATCTTGTCAATAATATATGTAACAGTTCTTCATCAATTTTTTTATGAGTTTAATTGAATTGCAATAATTATTAGCCTGAAGTGTTTTCTATAATATTTTATTAGGAAGTATGGTTTGAACCAACTAGGGAAATTTTTTGAGATAGTTTTCTTGTTGAATTTTGTTATAACTACCCTTTCAGAGGTGAACCCTATTATTATTATTATTTAGAAGGATTCTTAATAAATAGTTAGTTTATTTTTATATCAAATTGTTCATTATTATTGTTATTGTTAATATTGTTATTTGGATATTAATTTAAACTTGATGTTGAGCTCATTCTTTATGAAGTTCCTGGTCTTGATATTTTCTATAATTGTTCAACTTATTTTTATGCTTCTAATAATTTTTCTTATATATATTTTTTATTTTTATTTGAATCCTACTAATGTTTAATGTATTTTAACAAATCTTAATCCCTTTATTTCTGTAACTCAGCTTTTTAATCTATTCCTTATATGGCCTTTACATTTTCATAAATTTTTCTATAAATTTATTCCCTTCTCTCATTTAAAACAGTTTCAATTTACTCCTCTTCCTCTTCACAGTTCTGATACCTGCCGGTATATGTTAATAGTAGTTGCTATTCTAACTTTTTCAAATCATTTATCTCTTCATTAATATTTTTCTTTTTGGTTTGTCTTTGAATTTCTTATTATCGAAGTATCAATTCTTCAGTCCCATCTGTTACTCTAATTTCTTTCTTTTTACTCATAGGCATTTCATTAAATGTTTCTATTTTAACTTCTTCTATTTCTGGTTTAAATGAATGCTACTTAATGATTGCCCTCTGTTTATGATAAGATTTCTATTTTTTCAAACCTTCTACTTGTGTAATTGATTTTAAAAGTCGCTTCGGTAATTTAATAATCTTTTTGGTAGGTGTCAAAGGTCGAATGTTTACTCTCAAATCAATATTCAATTAGCCTTAATTTTTTAGTGATATAAATGCTTATAATGTTTTTTCATTTAATAAATTCATTATTCAAAATAAATTCGATTGCTTAGTAATATTTTCGATGGAAATTTGATAAAATGAAGTTCAATTTTCTTTTTCTTAGGATTACAATTAAATATTGAAGGAATTTTAAGGAATCAGTTTTACTAAATGGTGATTTTGAATGGGGTTTTTTGATAAAAATGGCACTGTAAAAAAACATAAAAATTTTTATCTTTAAAATTTATTTAGGGATTTAATTTAGATAAAAGTGCATAATTCCTTTTATCAATAAATTTGATATCAAGAAAAATAAATACTTCTTGTGAATCTTAGAAACTTAAGACAAATATTATAACTTTAATTATAAAATTCAGAAAGATAATTCTTTTATTATCTAAATGTGTTACAGTTATCAAATAAATGTCAGGATTTATTAAATAATTAAAAAAGATTTATGGAATATTATAAAATCTTTTATTGCTATAAAGATTCTATCATTATGATACCTGAAAGATATCAAAAACCTAGCGAGAGAGATAAACAAAAAATACTAGTTGATAAAAATAAATATTAATATTATTAAATACAATATCATTATTACTACAAATTAGAAAAAAATTGTTTTTTTTAATGCAATATTAAAATTATGTTAGTGTAATATGAGAATAATAAATTTCACATACATATTTTAATTAGAAATTCATAAATATATTTTGATTTTATACTTGTATCTTGATCTAATAAACTTTTAATTAATTTTCATTCAAATATTATATATTGTTTTTTCCTTGATGAATATTTATTAATTTCAGTAAAAATAGATGTTTAATTAGATTTTGTATATGTAGGTTTATTGAAGGTATTTAATTCAGGTAAAATTCATTTGTATTATTGATTGGACAGAATAATTGATATTAGAATTATTTATTCAAAATGAAATTCCTTAATAAATTGAAAGTCTTGATAAATTTATTTAATAAAAACATTAAGAAATTGGGAAATATGTATTACAATATTGATACTAAGTTTCAGTTATATCTACTAATACAATTCAAATATTATTAATTGTATAATGATTTATCAATATGTTAATATCAAATTATCAAATTAAACTCGAATTAATTTATATTTTGATTGTTTAAATATATTTATTTGAAATTCTTAAACTCAATTACAATTCAATTTATATTTTGATTGTTTCAATAAATTATCTTGAAAGTTTTCGGATTTCTTATTTTCAGCTGAATCCTTGTATATCTCAACAAAAACGTTTTGTTAATAGTATAGAATATCTCTATATTTCAACATATAATTCTACAAATTATTTCTTGTAAACATCTTTATGCAAGCACTATTTGATTAGATCAGAAATTATCGCCATTGTAATCATATTCCATTGGAGGAGCCTATATATTTGATGAGAATCAATAGTATGGATGAGATTCAATTATTTGATGTATCTCAGGGGGACTTCGTGTTTCCCATTGAATTGTAATGTCCAAAGAGATCTTAAATTTGCTTCTATTTTGCAGGTTTTGTGCCTTAATAGATACCAAATTAATTAGAATATTCTAAAATTCATGTAAAATGCTAGTATTCTCGTTATAATTTAATTTTTTTATCAATTCCTTTTATTCCTAGTATATAT